CTCACCCCAATTCAACGAAGCTCACTTCACCCCAATTCAACAACCCTCATGGAACCGTGTCCGCTTACACAATAATTAATGAGATGTTCCTCGTTATGGCGAGCTCGTAATTGGCTACCTCTAAAGCGACTGTAATTTTAATTGGACAAAAGCGTCGATTAATATTAATATATTTCGTTATTAATGAGTCAGACATTGTTAATATTCACCGTTTGAAACGACACTTCAGGAATTGGGTCCTCAACTCTCGGACCATCAGAATACGAAACTTAATTGAGTTCAAATGAAATTAACATGGATTTGAAAAATACATATTTTATTCGTAGCGAGAAGGTCTTGGTAACCCCCAGTTACTGTAATGTTATCTATTGGCAATATAACTGTGGCATCGGGAAAAACCTGTTCATTAGGACGAGGGTATGTATTCGTAGCCTGCCCTTAATACGAGTACCAGGAAAACGCGTACCAAGAACTCCGTCTAATGCGATTTCCTCGCCTCTCGTTAAGCTCATAAATAGCAATCTGGCAATCGCTAAGCAGGCGTCTGCTAATGAGATTAGCGCGGCTTAGCAAACCATAGCCAGCTTAGCGTCGCTTCTGCAATGAGGTTTGAGACATGCGGTTTGACTTAATTGTAGGAGTACATTGCACGCTGTCAAATTTACTACTTCATGAGCCTTTAGTAACACATTCACCTTTAGTGGACAAAGGTTTAATCCATTTTCTACGGATACATATAGCGTCGTCCATTTTATTTTTTCGTAAGCCCATGTTAACTACAGTCTCCTTCGGTAGACTAAGAGTTAACCTTTTTGCAGGCGGTTTAACCATCCATATTACAACGCTCGGTAACGACCGTCCGTAGACAAAAGGGAGTCTGTTCGTGCTGGTCAAGTTAAAGGACCCCACAAAACCCTACGGGACCCCATGTTACCCCACAGGACCTCACACGACCCCTCTGGACTACACTGAAACCCACTGGACCCAACAAGACCCCACATGGACCCCACAGGACCACACAGGACCCTACAGTACCCCACAGGGCCCAACAGGACCCTACTGGACCCCACAGGACCCCATGGGACCCTACAGTAGCCCACAGCACCCTAGAGGACCACACTGGACGCCAAAGGGCCCCACAGCAGCCATAGTATAAAATGGGGAATAAAGTCTCGGGTTTATGAAACGGAGAGAAAGATGGTTTTGAAAGTGATGTACTGATAATAGAGAGAGTGACCAGACATTCGAGACATTCAAAAGGATTACTTTATTATAAAAGAGAAATTTCAGCTTTTCTCGTGAATTAACATGCATAAATGTTTGAACTTAGATTCGATCAAAGCACTGAATAATTGATTTATGTTAGATATAATAAATTTAGAATTGCATTCAAAATTTTAAAATGCTGGCGCGCTCATGATATTGTATTCTAGGTTATATCCCTTGACGGATATCATAAAACACGTTTATATTAAATTATCACGAGGCATCTGGCGTGCAAATTTAGAAATATTCCTTCAGGGACCTGCAGAGAAACGAAATTGAAGGATCTAGACGCGGAGTTACATCGAGTCAAGGTCCTCCAGCAACACCGGAGGGTAGATTATCAAATTGCTTGTCGTAGCGAGTACGAAGTCCAGAAACTGCCGGTGTACCGAGATGTCGTCTTAAGGTGCACTCAGAGAAATAGATGGGTCAAGCTGTTGCAATAATAACACACATCCTTACTCACGAAGGTACAGTTCATATAAAAACACAGAGTTTTCACACATATATATATTTCAAGAACGGATCTGTACAAGGCGTTGTGTTCCAGCCTGTCTCTAAAACATGATTAATAAATAAATGACGATGGCAAAACCTAAAGTGCGGAAGGCTCTATATCAAAATGGAAAGATTGTAACTATAAAAATTATAATTACTGACTAATTAAATTGATGTTATTCCCTTACAACGTAGCAGTGATACTACCTTTTACCGTGACAAAATGGGTCAAAATGACTCACGCGATGCCAGGACGCTAAAAGGCCAAGTCAGGCCGCCATAAGTCCCTAAGAAATATTCAAACACTCCACCTGAGGCAATTTAACCCATTTATATGAATTTCTAGCCTACAGGCACCCAAAACGAAGCACGTTTCTAACTAAAGACTCGGATTGGTGAACGAAAATTATTTTTGTTTTTTAACTCTGCGACCTGACAAAAAGTTTAGAGGCTGTCGACACATGGCTAGAGTTACCCTAAACTCTCTCAAACTTGTATTAGAGTTACGCTAAACTCTCTAAACTTGTAGGTAAAAACTAATGTTTTTGAGATTTTAAAATTGAGAATAACAGATCATAGCCTTTTTGGGGGCTGGCTCGAAAGTTATGGCCGCGTTATCGGCGTGCAGCCGCCGATACTCCTGGCAAGAACTTTGAGAATAGACCAGCAAAATATCAATAATTCAGATATCAATCTTTCAAAATATCAATAATCGAAATAGACCAGTAAAATATCAATCTTTCGCCCTGTAACTGATTAATTCTAAAGAATGAAATGCCGGCAAACTTTTCAACACTGTGGGTTACTACGCCGGTTTTCCAAAACTTCAGAGATCTTTTAATGACAGAAGTTTGGATAGATGAATTGCGAACGTGATAGCTGAGATATTTAGAGTTACTAACCCTTGCATTCAGACAGTAACCTGCTGGTGCATTCAGACAGTAACCTGCTGGTGCATTCAGACAGTAACCTGCTGGTGCATTCAGACAGTAACCAGCTGGTGCATTCAGACAGTAACCTGCTGGTGCATTCAGACAGTAACCTGCTGGTACAGTAACCTGCTATGACATTCAGACAGTAACCTGCTGGTACAGTAACCTGCTATGGCATTCAGACAGTAACCTGCTGGTGCATTCACAGTGTAAGTGCACGCCCGCGCTGTTGCTCCGACAGCTGCGACAGGGCGCAATATCTCTCGTGAAGCTGCCATCTTATCGACACACATGGTCGGCATATCGACGGCCATTTAATGACCGACCAAATGCAGTCGAAGACCTTGCCTTAACTTTCAATTATGGTTGATGTCAATAAACCAATAGATCAGTGAGACCATCGGCCAAAAAGATCAGTGAGATCAGCGAGATCAGTAAAATCAGTGGAACCAGCGACCAATAACTTTAATGGGATCAGAGAGATCAGTAAAATCAGCGAGCCAAGCGAACAATAACATCTGTGAGATCATTGAGATCAGTTGGATCAAAAGAATCAGCATGATAAATAAGCTTCGTTTGATCAGTTATAATTATAATATGATATATAACATAACTACAATAATTTATTGTGCTCTGTAAGACCCACATACGATTATCTATTGATCAACGCATTATTTAGACGGCGACAACGCGTCTAATCGTCGAAAAATCAAATGTACTATACATTATTTTGTCAACTACTTTTCTTAAATAGCCTAATATACTGATAATCGTTTGTAAAATACAATAACTAAAATAAAATAAACTGAGGACAAGGCTGCGTGATGAAACCTAGCATAGGTTGAATTTGCAATAACAAAAGAATCAACATCGAACAACACTATATGCGAATCGAAATTCAGGGCAAAAACAACCTACGTTCAAATAAATAATATATAAACACGTGCTTTGAAGCCATAAACTCTAGGAGATTAAGTTAATTAATTTAGAGTTCAATTTAATGGACTCGTGATTATTTGGCAATTGCAATAGCTGCTTTCTTCGTGGCAGCGAGCGTTATGGTGCATTGTACAGTCAACTGTACACTGTAGTGTTTACTGTTAACTGTACACTGTAGTGTTTACTGTTAACTGTACACTGTAGTGTTTACTGTTAACTGTACTGTTTACTGTTAACTGTACACTGTAGTGTTTACTGTTAACTGTACACTGTAGTGTTTACTGTTAACTGTACACTGTAGTGTTTACTGTTAACTGTACTGTTTACTGTTAACTGTACACTGTAGTGTTTACTGTTAACTGTACACTGTACTGTTTACTGTTAACTGTACACTGTACTGTTTACTGTTACCTGTACACTGTACTGTTTACTGTTAACTGTACACTGTACTGTTTACTGTTAACTGTACACTGTACTGTTTTGTTTACTGTACACTGTACTGTTTATTGTTCACTGTACACTGTACTGTTTACTGTTAACTGTACACTGTACTGTTTACTGTTAACTGTGCACTGCACTGTGTACTGTTAACTGTACATTGTAATGTTTACTGTTAACTGTGCACTTTCCTGTTTACTGTTAACAGTACACTGTACTGTTTACTGTTAACTGTAGTGTAACTGTAGAAGACAGTTACTGTAGCTTTCTTTTACTGTAGACTCTTAACTGTACGACCAACATCACTCATGACTGACGAACAGTTCCTACGAACATCACTCATGACTGACGAACAGTTCCTACGAACATCATTCATGGCTAATGAAAAGTTCCTACGAACATCGCACATGCTAACGAACAGTTCCTATGAACATCACTCATGCTATCGAACAGTTCCTATGAACATCACACATGACTGACAAACCAAAAGATTTTACCATATAGAATTATTGGCTATTAAACTGCGTCAACCGATTTTAAAATTCTGAAGCAGCTCCCAGTTGTATTAGAGATATTCAGTTTGGAAGATAATTCTGATGAAATAAGTTTTCATTTCTGATAAAAATTAACACTTACCGAAAAATAAATCGCACATCCATTAGTTAAATCCTGCTATAATTATAGTTTGAAGGTCTCGTGACATCACCGTTATATAAAATATTAGTTCAAGGTAATTTCCAGGTACTAGTATGCATCTATTAGGTAGAATATATTTTGCCCTGTATATATATATATATATATATATATACTGGTCCCTATATATATTTCCAGTGTCGGGGCTCAATTAACTTACAAACACGAAAACTTTGCCGTGTGTATAATAGATAAAAGTTGAAAAAATTATATCGTATAATATGCGTGACTTACTGTCAGTAATCAGAGTCCAGGCTGCAGTGGGCGGCGAACATGAAACGATGCACCAATAAAAATATACTTAAATTTGAAAAAAAATTATAACCTGCAAGTTTTTTACTTCTCCTCAATAGCGGGAACTCTCTAATAGGGTTTATTTTAAATGCGAATAGTTGACAGTTCAAAATCTAAACTATTTCGGGGACAGTTAAACTCATGTAGCATAGTCCGTAGACTTTGTAATTTCAGTTGCAGGGTTCTTATAGCCTTGTCAACATTTTTGCAGTATACATGAAAATTATTAATCACATATAATATAATAAGGGTATAGGTTAGATAAGAATACTGTATTTAGAGTTCGAAGGGATTGATCCTTATAGTATCTATAGCTTCTAAGTGGTAGCCTGTATCCTTTTACTTGGCGTCAGTCAGGATTACAAGTCCCTAGTGAGTGGTCAGGGCAAGAGCGCGACGCAACATTCATCACGCTAGTCAAAGACACACTGAAGGATTCTCTCGAAACACACAAAGTTTGAGAATAATACTTCTCTCTTTTCAAACACTAGTTGAATTGCCCGACACTTCTTTTTTCATTACGTAAGTTTTATAGATGAGCTAAAAGGTTGTATTTTTCTCCATGAACATGAACGGCAAAATATATGTTTATGAATATAATACTGAGAAGCGCTTCATCAGAGATGTCGGCCATAGTGGCAGCCGCTCTCTAGACAGCGACGTGCGTGGGCGAGCTGTGGCTGAGAGGCATACCTGATGTGGTGGTGATGCCGGGGTGGTGGTGATGCCGGGGTGGTGGTGATGCAAGGGTGGTGGTGATGATGGGGTGGTGGTGATGCCGGGGTGCCGGGGTGGTGGTGATGCCGGGGTGGTGATGCCAGGGTGGTGGTAATGCAAGGGTAGTGGTGATGCAAGGATGATGGTGATGCAATGGTGGTGGTGATGCAATGATGGTGGTGATAAAAGGGTGGTGGTGACGCAATGATGGTGATGATGCGAGAGTGGTGGTGATGCATGGGTGGTGATGATGCAGCAGTGTTGGTGATGGAAGGGTGGTGGTTATGCGGGAGAAGAGGGTTTGATGCAAATGTGGTGATTACAGCGTGGAAATGCAAATGTCATTGTGGGGGGAGGTGCTGCGTTGGGGGAGATATGATGGAGGGTATAAGTAGGGTATGATGTTTCTGTGGCGTGAATGTTCACATTCCAAAACGATAGTGAAAGCCAAAGGATTCCCCACAAAAGCCCGTGATAGAGCCAAAGATTGGACTCCAAAAGCTTACAGTAAAGCCAAAAGATTTACCCTCAAACTCCATAGGAAAACCGCGGTAAATGTTCCTGCAGACGTTGCCGCAGTTCGCTGCCAAGATAGTCTGAGCTACACGCCCTCGGCTGAGGTCAGCAAAGATTGGCTAAGCGTTGCGGCTCGCAATGGACCGCGCTATCTCGAACCCTAATTATTGTGCAGAGAATTTCTTCGATGTCTTGATGCCACAATCGACGATCTCGGAGATACCATACGTTCCCATTGAGTTTTGATACAAAATACCTATATCGGTCTAACATTTTGGGAATCACAGTGTCTGATTCTCAAGATTTAAATTTCTAACGTGGGAAATTTCATGGAGACATAGAAATACGTTTTAGGCTTCGAATGTGATTCATTTCTCTACAAACCAATCTGGCCTTTAAGTAGAAAGTACTCTATCCCAAATACGTGTTGAAGAACTGACTTTAATTACTTTGAAGAGATACTCAATCTCGGTTACTTTCTTCAGGCACGGAGTCAAGAAATTGCAAATTACTTTACTGTTAACAAAATAATTTATTTGAATAGTAGATCTTCTGCAATTTTTTCATTGTTAATGAAGACCAATAAACCTGTTCTAATACTGGTATAAATTCCGGAAATATAAATGACTGTGAGTGATGTTGCATGACTTATATCGTTTGAAATCAATGGTGAAACCACTGAAGTATGACTATGGCTGATGCCGATATGGTCCCTTGAGAAAGGAAATATTGCGTACGTATTTTCTCCGCCCTCGAAGACTCGAATATGACTGATGGCGCTGCTTAATTAATTATTTTTGCCGCGAGCGGCCGTGTTCAACAGAGCTAAAATCAAATCTAAGTTCTAGAATGGCATTAAATGACTTAGGACTAAATTTAGAATATCAGAAACGGAATTTACGTTAAATATTTACGGCAAGGTGGCCCAGTGGTTAAAGTTCAGAGTATCAAGATTGGAGCAGAGAGGCGCGGGTTCGATCCCAGCTCTGTGCGCCAGTTTCTGGTCAGAATCGGCAAGGAGGCCGGGCGGTTAAGCACATCCAGAATTGTAGCAGTGAGTTGCGAGTTCGAGACCGCAAAATGCTGTGAATGTTCTGTGATGTTAAGTAACTCTATCAAATGGCTTCTTAACACATTTACTAATATTATTTGTAACTTGGTATTTTGCCTTGCATGAGTTAGTCTTCCGCTAGCTAAGGTCGGACATAAATAGATTCAATCTAAGCCAAACACTTCGTCTGAAGAAAGGGTAATCACTCTTTTACGCAACATTGAGCAGCTGCAGCTAAACACATTTAACAGACATGTTCACTTTTTCATAGTACAGTGAATACGTTGAAATTAGTATGAGGAAATTGTGTGTTTTCCCCTGTTCAGAGTTTGCAGTTGCGCCAAAAAATCTACTGCAGCTATGAAATTGAGGAAATAGTGACATGTGGCGACAACCCCATGACTGTGAACTAATTTTTTTAGTTTTATCAAATGTCATCTATAAGTTTCATCATAACTACTCTTAAATGTCATAAAAAAGATTTTGAATGTCTACTAGAATTGGTATAAATTATTTTTTGAAAAAATTAAAATTATGGTTGAAAAGTTGCATAGAAAGCTGAAATAAGCGCTGTAGCGGATTCACTGATTGATTGAGTAGATTGACAGCGACGTCCATGTCCATGCACGCTGAATTCGTGAATCTGAGTTCTTGGCTTTAAAGAATGTGTTAACTGCGAGTCTGTGACGTGTGAAGCTTAGCCGCATTTAGCAATATCAGATCTTGTAATGTACTTGACTCGTTTCACTTTCACAGAGATCCTAAACTCTGCAATTTGAACTGATCTTCCCAAAATTCATGCTAATATTAGTTAGAGTATTAGCTTTGTTTGAGACGTGGATGGCAATTACTGAATTAGCCTATGATAACGGATAACGATTCTAGCCAAAACCAAGGCCTAGGTAGGCCTAATTTACTATTAAATATTAATGAATTATAAAAATATTCCTCATAACCAGGGTCCAGGCTGGCGGCTGCTCTGGCTGTGCTGACAAATAGCTATCATAGAATTAGAAACCTTAAGGTAGAAATGCAATTTTAAGCGGTAATCAAAGCTAACTAAATTGACAGGATGCCTACACTACAGACAGAGACAGCTACAGAGTACAGCCAAGTTCAAGCAAACAGGTTGGCCAGTGGCCACAATTTCATTTTCCAACCCTTTTTGTGTTAAATGCCTGCTCAGAGTCAGAGGCAAGCCCAAGCCCCAACCTAGGGTAAACGCGGTATATTCCATCACAAATGATCACATTAAGGACGCATCAAGAAATGAAATAACAAAAATTTATGACATTCGAGCCGTGAGATTTCATACCTACTGAAATTATATGATATTAGAGCCGCGATATTTCAGACAAAAATAGGACTTTTTCAGACTAGATGCGTCCTTGATGCATAGTGACAGAGCACAAAATTTTTAGAATCAGTTCATTCTTTATTTCCTCATTCACTCCAGATTTATACCAATTTCTTATGTATTATAATGCTGGTATCCAGGATACTTTACTGGTCTACTTATTAACTTAGGTATAGGACTCAAAAATGAACTTGAGGAGAGTCTAAAAAACTGTCTGCTTTGCCACTATGTCGTAATCCATCCAACCTACCGGAAACCTTACTTTTTTTCTAAATGGTTGGATGAAGACTGAGAAATATATTAAATGCAAGAATTTCAATCTAAATGTGTCGGCAAGATCTTCTGAAGGCGAAAATTTTGCCGATAATGTGTCGCCGTAGGTCTTTAAATCTTCGTTCACTCTCTGCACAATGGCTCAGAGTCAGAGGCAAGCCCAAGCCCCAACCTAGGGTAAACGCGGTATATTCCATCACAAATGATCACATTAAGGACGCATCAAGAAATGAAAAACTATAAAAAAATAACCGTATGCCGCCGGTATGCGTTACTCAAGTTCTGTTTGCTTTATATGACTCTCAAAACACCGCACTACGTGTCAGCAACAACGAAACGTCACAAAATGTTGCCATATTTTTTGGTCTAAAATCTAAATACTTGCGTTCATAAGTTTCATTTCAATCAATCAATGATTTCATGGGTAATTTTTTTAAATTCAGAGGCAAAAATGTACTATTTTTTAATTTTCACAAAAGAAGTTCAAAGTGGCTAGTGGGCACTGGGCATGGACGATGGACCAGGCCCAGCATTAGAATTTTCCTACCTTTTATTTTTATGGTAATCTTGTCACACTTGTGGTCCCACTGTGCAGAGAGTGGATGAATACTGCAAGATCTTTGGCAACACTTCAGTAGCAAAATTTACGCCTTCAGAAGATCGTGCCGACTCATTTAGATTGTAATTCTTGCATTTAATATATTTGTCAGTCTTTGGCCAACTATTTAGAAAAAAGTAAGGTTTCCGGTAGGTTGGATGGATCAGGATGCAGTAAAGCTTGTCTGGAAATCGGTTGCGATGAGTTCCTGCCAAAAAAATGTGAACAAAATGTAGTTGCGGTCACATTAGGGCAATCAGACTGCATCATCACATGTTCAGTTGACACTTGCTGTACAATCGGGCTGTTTTTAGGGTAAAATTATTTATTTGGGGTAACACGTGCATGCAACCTTGTAAATAAGTTCGTGACTTGTAAATAGTTTTTCATTACTCAGCATTAATGGCTTTTCATTAAAAATTACCCGGCGACACATTTTGAAAATGGTCGGCGACGCTTTGGGCTTAAAAACCCATATATTGGCAATGCCGCTTCCACCTTCTGCACCCTGGTTGTGGTCTGATGTTAAAAAATTTTCACTTTCAGTATAGGGCCTACTTGCAATTTTTGGCCTGATTGTTAACTTTTGTTAAGAATAAAATATGAGGTTATTTATCAAGGCAGAATATTGGAGCTCCAAAAATGGCAGGAAACTGAGGAAAGCTCTATTTGCCGCTTGAAAGCCTCAGAAAGGCATTATTAGAAGAAACGCTATATTAGACGCGTTAATATCCCTGCTCAGTTTTTACTCTTCCTAAAGTAAGTAAAGTTCATTTTTGAGTCCTATAAGTAGGGTAAACACAGCATATTCTGACAACTTAAGGATGTAGCAAGAAATGAATGGCTATAAATAGAGCAGCGTATGCGCACCTCAAGTTCTTATTGCTTTACATCCATAGTGGCAAACAAGAGATTTTCAGAATCAGTTCATTTTTTATCTCCTCATTTACTCAAGATTTAAACCAATTTCTTATTTATGTATGATTATACTGCACTGGTAATCATGATACTTTACTGGTCTACTTATAGGACTCAAAAATGAACTTGATAGAGTCTAAATTAAAAAAAACTCTCTGCTTTGCCGCTATGTTTACATCACTCTCAAAACACCACACTATGCACCAGCAAGGATGAAATGTCACAAACTGTTGCCATATTTATTTAAAAGCCTTTAGAATTCAAATCTACAAAATCGCTGAATTCCAAGTTCCAACACTGTGTGTGACTAAATGCGGCATATTGTGAGACTAATTCTGACAGCGCTTCAAAATCGTAATTCTGACACCCTGTGTGTGAATGCCGACACCCTGTGCCACGGCTGTGTGTCGTAATTCCGACACCGTGTCGGAATTAGTTTTTATGTGTCTAAAACCGTCTCTTAAATCAATCATCTATTAATTTATTTACATCTTAAAATCAGCAAATACAAGTATACTTAAAGGATTCCTAATATATTCACAGACTTAATTAAAAGTCTCAAACCATAATATTCTTTCTACACAAAGTTCATCACTATTTAGTAAAACAAGGTCGACTATAAACTTTCACATGTGTTTCAATGTTCTCACTGGCTAACGTGGAGTTTCGTTCTGTGGATCTTGACATTTTTCCACCAGACCTAGTGTTTTGCAGAAATTTTGCGCGCAATAGTTTGACGTCACTATTTCAACCATCTACGCATGCGTGGAACTAAGGCAAAGCTTAATATAAAGGAAAAAGCTGAAAGGTGTCGGAATTACCCTGATTTACCCACAGTGTCAGAATATGGTGTGGTTACCCTAGACTAGTGAGGATATTGGATACCTGCATTATCATAATATCATACATAAGAAAAAAAAAATATTGTTTAAAATATCATATAGACTAGTAAATTATAAAAATAACTGATTCTAAAAAGTTTATGGTTTGCCACCATGTGTCAGGCAATGCAATGCCTGCCAATGGGAATCAAAATCTTTACAAAGCTTGAAACTGGCAACAAGGACTCTAAGTCTAAGAGCAAGGATTAAAAATCAACTGGATCTTACCACCTGGTCTCCAATATGGCAATAATGGCATGGCAGGTCACATTTTCATAGTTTTAAGGGGACCGGCTACCCTCCGGAAAAACTTCTACAGTTATCATCCGATCATCATGAAACTTCACATACATACGTAAAATGTAAAAAAAAAATAACATTTTGTTCGTATGAATTTTTTGAAAAAATTGATAGAAAACGTGAAATTCATAGAAAACAGACAAAAACGGGTACCGTACCACAGAAACCTATCTCCTCCTACAAATATGTCCTACAACATACAGACACATATCATCCAATTCGTAAAGACCATATCTATCGACCTAGCCATCGCTTTTTTTCATTTTCCCCATATTTTTGTATGCGCGTTTTTCCCATTTTTTCACTTTTTTCACCCCCTCCCCCCCTTCTCCCCCATTTATATGACAAACCATGCACAAATTAAAAAAAAAGCGATGGCCACGTCGATAGATATGGTCTTTACAAATCGAATGATATAACTCTCATTGCTGTAGCTTGAAAACTGTAGGAGGAGATAGGTTTTCCGTGACAATAAGTTGAACTTTTAAAACTTTTCAGGACGGCGCGACAAAGTCCCATGCGCCTCAAAATAGGCACTCAATGTAGCATGGATACCAAACTACAGGCTTCTGTAGCTTAATCCACTCAAGGATGCTAGCAGCAACTTGTAGCGCACCTCTACGTACAATTACTAAATGTACCAGAATGTCCTAACTTTCTAAATTAGAAGTAATAAAGTGAATATGTAGTGAATTAATAAATTTCATGACAAGATATATAGGTATATTTTTCCAAAATTTGTTTTGTATGCTAAAGTTTAATTACATCACAAGTAGGAAAATTAGTAAATCTGTCAAGAAAGTGAAATTTCTAGTTGGTTTGAAAAGTAGATATTTTTCATGCATAACCTAAACTACATGAAAGGATCAAATTGCCAACAATCATGGGTATATTTGTCTTGTTCACCAGTGGTTTCTGCCCAGTTTGGCTTGCTGCTCAGAAGCCCTCCATTTTACTAAGCTTGCATCTCATACTTGAGAAGTGTAAGTTTATTGTAATTAAGAGATCCCTAACTATTGAAAGCACAATATTAAAATATTTAAAACATACAGATATTAATTATTTTAGGCATATATATATATAGTTCATTTAAGAGACAATCTGGAAGTATAAATTCCCTATAAAAAAACACGAGATAATCATTGATGATAATCCTTTATGAGCTCCTTAAGATACTAATTAGCTGAATATTTACCTATTATTTTGTCATAACTTATTATATTTCTCTTTTCCAGGGAAAGTTCTTTAAAATGCAAGAAAATCTTTCAGTAGATGATACAATGAGTCACAAAGATGGTGACAAGCAGATTTCTGCCTCAGTTAAGTCTCGCTGTGGATCTCCAGACAATGTTATTCAAGAGAAATCTTCTAGGGAAGTGTGTGCTGAAAATAACCCTTCTGGTGTTAATAACAGACCATCTGAAGCTCAAGGTATCCCAAACATATCACCAGACCCTATCATATCAGTCTCTGAAGGATCTATTGCTACAAAAGGAATCTCTAAAAATAAAATTGTTTTGTCAAAAAGCAGTACAGATATAGATGAAAAAATTCTAAGTGATTGCCATGTTTCAATCCAAAGATGTTCCTCTACTAGTAAAAGCAAAAGAGACGAAGCTCAAGATGGGAAAGAAGAAGAAACCAGACAAGATACTAAAAGGAAGTCCAGAAAATGCAAGCAGACTAGCAAAGCTAATGCCCCTAGAGGCAAAGGTAGACGATTTATTTTCAAGAAAAATGTAAGTGCTTTGAACATCTCTCCCATTGATATCTCTTAGTTAATTTTTCTTTGCTTTTCCTGAATATTCTCTGCAATCATGTGTCTCATAGACACCCATTTTAAAATGTAAACATATGCTTATTATGACTTTTTTCAGGTTGCCAAGACTCCTGTGGCTGCCTCCATACCTGTGTCGCTTGAATCTGTAATGTTTGAGGTAATTTCAACATGTTAGAAATGCAAGATGAGATTCAGATTTAGTTACGATAAATGACAGTCTCATTGAAATTTGCTGATATACCTACTATCTGTTCATTGGAACTTTCTATAAAAGTTGAAATAAAACCAGTAAAATGACTGACTGAATATCATCTTAAAATGAATACATTATATATTATTCTGCATTCCTAATGGATTTGAAATTGAAATGGATGAAGATGAATTCCTAATGGATTTGAAGATGAAAATAATGATTCCTAAATTCCTCTAATTTTCTTTATGTTAGTTAATGTCTTCATTATTCCAGGGCCAGTACTGGCAAGTGGGAGATATTGTGTCAGTCCAAGATGTCGATGGAGGCATTTTTTACTGCCAGGTGAGCCTTTAGCAAACCTTCTAATTATAATTTTAGACATACTAGGTACATTACTAGTCATCAATTTTATGTGTTCATTTTTATTAAACCCGTTTTGAGGAATTTTCATGATTATTTCTAATTTGTATTGATGTTAGCCTTTGAATATAGTGTGAGCCTGGCCACCAAGATAACCTCATTTCCTAGGATTTATTTCTTTATCAAATTTATTGTGACTTCAGGTGCGGGGGCTGCTGCAGGATCAGTACTGTGAAAAGAGTGCTGCTCTCACTTGGCTCCTTCCTACCATCTACTCCCCTCCTCAAGCTGAACGTTTTGATCCTGCTACATATATCATTGGTAATGTATGATGTTGCACCAGACCATAACGAATGTATAGACAAGGAGGTTATCACCATTTTTCCGAATAATGATATAGATATAGATCCATTCAGTCAGTGATCATTTGCTGCATTTTTTTGGCTTATAAATACTTGATGATATTAGATTTAAATAAATTTAAATATTTTCCAGGACCTGAAGAAGAAATCCCTCGTAAGATGGAGTACTTAACGTTTGTGTGCCATGCACCATCTGACTACTACAAGCTGAAGAATTCACCCTATCCTACCTCCGCCAACCTCAGCAATGCCGCTCATGTGTGGGCATCTATGTCGTCTGTTGATGTCAAAATCAAATCCCAGTCTTCACGTAGCTAGTCCCGAGCTGCAGTATATATATGTACCTAAACTCGCTTAATTTTGCAGAATTATTCTTCTGTTTTGTTGCTGTCTGTTCTCTTTTGCCCGTCGCTGCACTTTATTGGTGATGGCAGTTGTTTTGAAAATTTTCACTATAGCTTTACTGCTTTTTTGTAAACTTAGATAACTATCAAACTAAATCAATATGCTCTTTAGTCATTTAAAATCGTGAAAAGTATGCAATGTTTTAGAAATTATGAGGGCTTCTCATTAGCTGACGGTAGTTCTGCTGCATATTAAACTTCAGAATTAACAATCTCGGCAATTCCCAACCCACAGTTCAATGCTAGGCAGTGCGCGAAAGACGAAACATTCTGTTGACTCTTACATGAAGGTAGAAGCGGGAAATGAGCGTAAAAGAGCTTGACAAGCATCCAAATTTGTCCACCTGAGCTTGTGTTTTAACCATTCATTTCCGTGTTCTAGTTTACTTAACAAACATCAGAATCTTGTCACTAGGTCAATGTGCTATTGTATGCCGATGATATAACAGTGTGTGTCCGGTGCCCAACCATACGAGCTGCCAAGTCTCTCACACAGCAATACCTGAACGTATTTAAGACGTACTGCACAACTTGGGGGTTTTTAGTAAATGCACAGAAAACCGTCTTCCAATATTTTACTCATATGCGTGTAAATGTACCAGTTTTGAGATATGGTCAACAACCACTTGAATATGAAAAACAGCATAAGTAAAGTTGCTGGGAATGATGTTGGATGCTCCTCGCCTCAAGTGGGGGCCACATTTGCGTTGCCTTCGCACCGATGTAATTCCCCGTATGGATTTGCTTGAACACTTGGCATCACCCAACTGGGGTGTCAGTTGTCGATTTCTACGTCTCTTTTAATGTGCTTTTATCAGGGCTAAGATAGACTATGGGTGTGTTCTTTATCAGACTGCATCCTCTGCGCAATTAACAAAATTAGACATACTTCAAAATGCTTGTCTGAGACTTGTTCTGGGCGCTCGCCGGACTACACCGGTAATATCACTTGGTATTGAGGCCCATGTTCCCCCATTGTCTCTGAGACGGCAATACTTGACTGCCAGTACGTATGTAAGGCTGCAGCCCCTCCGGGGGGACTTCTGACGCGTGTCTATGCGCGTCAGAAGTCCTATGGGATTTCGCGCTCCTAGGGGGATTGTTCCTGAGCGCCCCACCGCTGAGCTATCGGTGTCTGACTGCAGGTCTCAGTTGTTGGGTTAAATTATTATGTAGGTAGAATTCCTTACATTTCCCTTCCCTGTCTCTCGTGCGGGCGGCCGACTTCCCGTGTAAGCGACCTCTTGTTTGTGCTCAGTCGAGGCCCTCAACAGCTCACTGACCTGGGGCTTCAAGGTTGTTATCGCCAGCTTTTGATCCTGTTCCCTCTTGGATTTCTGTGGCTCGTCTTATTTGTCTTGATTTCCGCTTTGTCTCTGGTTTAAATGACTCAACTGTTTTTTCTGCTCATGTTAGGGAACATTATCCTGGGTACAAGGCTATCTACTGTGATGGGTCACGATTGACTGAAAATCCATCTACAGCATGTGGTTTATACATACCAGCACAAGCAAGAGCAGTTGCATGGAGACCTAACCCCGGGCATGGCATCTTGTCGGCTGAATTGATTGCTATTTTACATGCTTTGAAGCTCGTAGATGAGGCATCCGTTAACTGGGTTATTTTCTCAGACTCACTTGTGGCATTGCGGCTCATACTCTCCCCAACGGACACATCTTGAAATCTTGTATATCAAATTCGTCAGCTGCTCCTTGGCCTGAATGAGAGGAAAACTGCACCTAAAGTGGGCTAAAGCTCATGCCAACATTGTTTGGAATGAGCGAGCTGATGCTGTTGCAAAGATGGGTCATACCCTTGACCATTCTGCATTGTTTCAGCTCTCTCATTCTGATGCACTTGCTTTGCTTCGTTATTGTTTTCACAAGTATTGGGAACGACTGGGTCGCTGCTTTGGCTGTTGAAGGGAAGGGACATCATCTTGCTTCTGTGCGGACTGATTTGTCTCCTGTTCCATGGGGTCCTAGTTGCTCTCGTCGTGCTGCTGTGGTGCTTACTCGTCTTCGATTGGGTCATGTTGGTGTTCGGTCGTACCTTCATCGATTTGGCATGGCAGACACTCCCATGTGCTTGCATTGTGGGGTGGATGATACCGTGGAGCATTTTCTTCTGGCATGCATGCAGTACCGTCTGGAGCGTCAGTTGCTCATCACTACTACTCAGGCCATGGGTGTGCATCATCTAACTGTTCGGATACTTCTTGGAGGAGGCAACTTCCGCAGAAAGATTCAACATGCAATAATAAGGGCAACAATCACCTATTTAACACAAACAAATCGTCTGACTTCCCTGTAGTGTATGAGTACCATCCTGGATTTAGCTGTGATCCAGACCGGAAGCCCACCCAATAGATCCTCCAAGGATCATTGACGCATAACGCTGAAACTTTCTGCTAAGTCCAGGTGTAACAAAAGGTCATTGTTCGCCTACTTCTTAACCTTCAAGCCGGCCACAAGACCCATCTTGTCACTAGGTAAGCAGTACAAGATTGCGCTGTTCATCTATGTGCCCTCTTCCGATAAGCCGCGTATTTTCGTGGTAGCATCGTAGTCTATTCAGATTTGTTGCACTAGAACAAATCTGTAAATATATTTTTTTCTAATTTACATTGACGCCGATCTCATTTTCCTCTCCCTACATAATCTCTGTTTCGAAGCACTCTCAGAATATGCGTAATTATGTTTCATGTCTATGCCTATCTCGCCTGTGCCTCGTATAGGCAAGTCTTTCTTCATTATTTATATTATTTGTATTTCTGTTTATTGTGTTTGTTTATCTATGCATATTGGTAGATATTTTTAATTTTATCCGCATTACAGGATGCTATTCTTTCGTACCATGTAGATAGTTTACTTGTGTATATAGTTACCAAATTTATGCTGTGAAATGATGAAAAAATGTAGAGAAGAATCTCTGTCGAAATTTGTGATATAATATTGGTAGAATACATCACACAGTTGCGATGATGTTTCGCGTATATCTATTTTTCACGTCAATCAACGGCAATTAACAGATCTGTATTAGTATATATATACGGAAACTGTAGACTAACCCCGCATCTTTCATTCTCTAGTTTTATTAACTTATTGGATTTTTCACTCGTTAGACGTGAATATAATACACTCTGCTCTTAATGACACTCGTATGCCTAATGTAGCGAGGTTTTAAAATATAAACTTTACCTTGTCCATATCAATATCATGTACACCTATACGCAATACGCTCATGACACCGTTTCCAGAGCACTTGTAATCAGGTTCCACTAGATGCAGTTTTCGACTTATATGGCGGGAAGCCTAAATGTGAAGATAAAAATAAAGCTCGATTAACTATTAAACAAAAATTAAAATATTCAAAATCGCTAGGTTTTGGTGGAATGATAAACGCTTTTGTATGTTGTCTGGGGTCACGGAGGTGCTACCGGTTGACCACGGTAGGAAAGTTCATTAAAGTCGTTTTTTTAACATTGTACCAGTAGAAAGTGCTTGTTTGTTCATTGAAACATAAGAAAAATATTTACATAATTTTTAGCGATTAATTCGATGAATCCCGAAAAAAATGCCAGTTATTTGGCTGTTGTTTTGTACATCGTGTACCACCACACTGTGTACAGCGTTCATGACGCCTGTGACGTGATGCAAAACATCGGAAACCAAGCTCGAATGAAGGCTTCATGATTTGGCTATGTTGCTGGTGGAAAGCCAGCAAGTCTATTGAGTGATTTGAAATTACTGTATTAATTTCAAAGCCATGGAAGGAGGTTATACTACAAGATCTGGGCGATCGACGGGCAAAAGTAGGGGTGTTGGTCGAGGGAAAAATTCGACCAAAACTGAGGCTTCTAAAAGTTCCCGTTCTTCAAAGAGGAATAAGGTATGGAGTTTGCACTTGCAAGTTGCAGACAGTAGACTGAGACTAAAGAGCCCAAACGGAACATGAACAGTTGTTAAGATTTTGCAAGTTAATATCATGTAATGTTGTAATATATATATAATTTTTTGCAAAAAATATGAAAATTGTCAAAAGCTACCTAGTTACATCGGAAAAATACTTGGAAATTGGAATTGACATTTTGAATGGATTTTATTCAAATTTTAAAAATAAGTACCTAGATATTGTCAATAATATGTGGACAGGTTTATTTCTGATTTTTACATCAATTACTTTTTATTAATACAAAAATCCTAACTTCATTTTCAACTCTGCCAGCCATAAATCTATCTATAATGAACAGATTTTATTCAAATTTTAAAAATAAGTAGGCCAGTAGGCCTAGATATTATCAATAGGGTAAACGCAGTATATTCCAGCACATTAAGGACCGTATGACGCATCAAGAAATGAAAAACTATGAAAAATAACCGTCTGCGTTACTCAAGTTCTGTTTGCTTTATGTGACTCTCAAAACACTGCACTACGCATCAGCAATGACGAAACATCACAAAATGTTGCCAGATTTATTTAAAAGCCTTTAGAATGCAAACCTACCAAATCCCTATATTCCGTCAGTCCGTCACCGTGTGTGGCTATATTCGGCACCAGGGTGGAATTCTAGAAATGTAGGTTCACTTATAAAAAAGCTTTCCACCCAAGGTGGAATGCTTTCCTTAGATACAGAGCTCTGCGTCTGCCAGGTGACTGACTATAAATGAAAAGGAGGATCAAAATTGGACCAACTGTTTCAATTGTATAGTACCTCAGATTTGTTATAAAATTATTTGATAGATATTCTCTATTTATCTTTTATTTAATGGTTTTTTAAAAATTTTCCAGGCTTTTTGTTTGTAATGATCAAGTTTAAGTTAAGTATTTAGTTAACCAGTACTGTAGTACATATACCATATTTAAGGTGGGGCTTATGGGCACAACCAATCACAGCTGGAAAGCATCCCCATCAACCAATCACAGCTTGAAAGCATCCCCAGCAACCAATCTCAGCTAGAAAGCAGAAAACATTACAACTTCATTAACCAATCACAGCTGGAAAGCTGGAAGGGGCTAAAATCACAATCCCATAAACCAATCACAGTTGAAAAGTGATAGGATGTGTATAATGTATATAATAAAATGGACTGGTGGAAAACCTAACTTTATTTTCAACTCTGCCAGCCATAGGCTAAATCCATCAATACTGAACAGATTTCATTCAAATTTTAAAAATAAGTAGATAGTATTATTAACAATTTGTGGACAGATTTATTTCAGATTTTTACATAAATTACTTTTTTATTAATACGGAAAACCTAACTTCACATTCACCTTGTAACCTCGCAGGTTGGTTCCTAGTGAGTAGTGACCATCCTACTCCTAGTCAGTAGTTGGGTAACTGTTTCAGTATTTTGTGGCATTAAAAAGAAAGTGATTGATGTAAAAATCTGAAATAAATCTATCCAAAAATTATTAATAATATCTACTTAATTTTTAAACTTGAATGAAATCCATTCTGTATTTATGGATTTATGGCTGGCAGAGTTGAAAATGAAGTGAGGTTTTCCATATTCCTAATAAAAAAGTAATTGATGTAAAAATCTGAAACAGATCTGTCCACAAATTATTGATAATATCTACTTATTTTTTTAAATTTGAATGAAATCCGTTTGTTATTGATGGATTTATGGCTGGCAGAGTTGAACGTCAAATTGTCAAGTTAGGTTTTGCGTTCGATGCGCAGGCAAGTGTCGATCCGGTGACATTTTGTTGCTTCTAGTCCCTCTGTGACTCTGTCACATTTTTGGTTAAAAAACTGATTTTTCAATGTTTGATCATGCATTTTTTAAAACAAAGATAGTAAATATATAATTAATAGTAATTTATTTATTAATAATTCTGTGGCGTGAAAAATCCATTCTGGAAATTCAATCTTGCACTTAACTTTAGTGGAATTTGTGGAAAATTGTCCAGATTTCAGAAGCCTGTAAAGTAAAATTCATAGTGGCAAACCATAGATTCTAAAAAATCTCTGGTTTGCCACTATGCCCCAGGGTAATATGGGACTCCCCATAAAATGCATTTACAGTAGAACTTTGGTTAGCAAAGGCTCTAGTTAATGAAAAATTGATTAACCACAAAGAATTTTGATTACATTTACCTTGTTCAGTGAAAAAAATTCAGGTAACAAAAAATTAATGCTTCATCATTTGTCACAAAATAGTGTATAGAATGTCATTGATAGAATTATGCACCAGTCAACATCAAATGAGAAGTAATTAATCTAAACTAAAATTTATTTTTCCAAAAAATATGATGATTGTCTTTAAAATATTCCTTTCTATTTCAGGTATGTTTTTTATGATCTTTTTTGGTTATAGTGAATTTAGTTGACCCTATTAACCCTTTAGCGGGCAAGCATTGAAATATCCAGAAATTAAAATTTCAGAAAACATTTCAAGAAAATAAGAAGTATTATACAATATATTTATTTATATGAATTTTTGCAAATTTTGCCTATTGAAGGTTTAAATCGCACTTGAAGAATTCAATAAATGCAATCAGTACACAAAATTTTTCTTTATAATTAAAATTCAGTTTATGCAAATGAAAAATTAGAAACATAAAAATTTAATTTAATTAAATTTAATCAAGTTGCCAAAATAAATAAATATATATATATTGATACTTCCAAATTTTAAAGAAAATGCGGAAAGAGCGTCAATTCCATTGTCCGAGTCAAAACCTTCATTTAAATGCTCATATTTCAATTTGTGGACTTTGCAGCTGGTGATACTATAGATAGAATGATGGTCAGATAATTAGTGATTGACTGAGGCATTATAAGGATGCCTCAAAAACAAACAGGAGGCCGTGGTGAGGCTTTCTGTGACTTGATTTCAAGTGATCATATATGGTAACTTACCCGTGTAAGGGTTAAAATGGTGCAAAATTACAAACCCAGTCCTGTAAGCTTATAGATACAGAAGAAATGCTTTACGGCTGCTGATATGAAGCTTGCAGTGGACAAGGTTGTTGTCAATGCTCAATGGCATGTCCATGGAAATGGTAAAATCACATCAATAATGGTAATGTACCTATGGATATGGTACTAATATATCAATAAAGGAAAAACAAATACCAACCAAAACAAATATTAATCAGAAAATGTCATTTATTCTACATCTACATCATCTACAACGAAAGAGGAGGACTGTAGAGAACTGTCAGTAATGGATGAAAACACTGTGCATGCTTCAAATGTTTTAAATAAAGTTTTATTTCAAGTGTCCTGAATTACCCCATTCCTAGGAGTAATTTGGGATGCTTTTCTTTTGCATCTGGCACCTTACAAATAGCATATGGAGTTCTTTCAGAGATGCCATTTGATAGCTCTCTCAAAGACCTTTAATATGAGCTCAAACTCATTTTTGAAATGTTTCATGGTAAAAAGTTATTAATAAAAAAACGCTCAAAATTGTCAGAACATTATTCAATTGGGGGATCTAATTTTTTCATCGTTTCCCTGAGTGTTAAAAAAAATGTCTACAGAATCATTTATCCCTTAGTGTAGTGAAGAGTCAATCCTATCATGTTTGGTTTCCTTTCATTTTATTTAGGGCTTTTGAGAATTATATGCAGACAAGTAATAGACCAATGATAACATGTATGAAAAAACTGTTCTTAATCACTACTGATGCTTTCAGGTGCATGAGTCCAAGGAAGAAATTGAGCCTGCCAAGCCACCTGCTGAGAGCACAAAGCCTGCTGCTCAACCCATTGTGGAGGAGTTCAAAAAAACAGAGTGTAAGATCTTGTTATATCTTCATGACTGATTATGATTGCATGTGCTAGGTTACATTTTTAACTAGTAATTGTCTGTTTTTAAAGGATTTTTTTCCATTGTTCTCATTATTAACTTGCAGTTTCAATTTTTATAATTGTTACAATTATAAAATTACTAAGCTAATATGATAATGGATTTATATTATGTATTGACAAGAGTAGAAATGCTTTCTCAGAATCAGTCTCTTAGTGATATCAAATTGTATTGAAAATCTACCTGGCATGTATTGCTACAGCCACAATATTTTTCTTGAATTTGTGAATGTATAAATGCGGCGTTGTTGGTTTATGGTAGTTGTGGTTTGCATTCGGTTCAAATTTTGTTATGTATTAGTATTTACTGTTTCAAGCTGGAATGGTAATATATTCCTGTTTGTGCAGATGACCAGGACTGTGATATATCATCTCTTGAGGCGCCCACGTTCACAACCTTGGACCGAGGGCCCCCAGCCCCCATGTTGTCCCTGACATGGGATCATCCTGTGCAGCTCATTGGCGAGAAAGTTATGAGCCCTCGCATCCACATATGTGATAACTGCCAGAAGCCCATCCTCATATATGGCAGAATGGTAGGCTTGAATTTGGATCTGTGAGATGCTATAAATTGAGTATATTACTACCTTGCTTTACATATACATTCATTAAGAACAATCTAAAGGCTTTAAGTTCTGAAACAAAACACAATCTTGTGAAAAAATTGCATTCAACATTTTCTAATGTCATGAAGGTGAAACATGATTGTTGAAATGAGTTTTGAATTTTAGAACATTCATTTAAATAACAGCATAATATTTTTTCATATATTCCATGGACTGCCAACAATACTTGCCTTTCAGATACCCTGCAAACATGTGTTCTGCTTGTATTGCGCTCAGTCTGAACTGAATGGCGTTTGTTCTCACTGTGACGAACTGATGGACAGAGTAGAGCAAGCAGGACTGGGCACTGTCTTCATGTGCACTTTCTCAAATGGCGATGTACCTTGCAAGCGAACCTACCTCTCTCAGCGAGACTTGCAGGTGCCTAGTTTGTATTTTTTCAGTTCCTGCTTCATATATTTATATGCTGCCTCTCTAAGACGTGGCGTCATTGGGGAGTATCAAGTAAAATATTCTTCCCTTGAGTTTATATTCGTTTAAGGGGACCGTCTGGGCCGGAAACGATCTATGTGAAACTTATCTGACCCAGATGGATCTTTGTGAAACTTTGTACACATATGTAAAATCGTAGAAATTTTTTTTTTTCTATGAATTTTTTCAAAATATTGAAAAAATACATGAAATTCATAGAAAACAGCATAAAATTTAGGACCTTCCTCCTCATTTAATTCTCGTACAACAATATCGTGAGACATATTCGATTTGTTATGGAAATATCTAGCGACTGTATAGGGACCTTTTTAAAAAATATTATTTTAAAAATTATTTTCCCCCTAATATAAGAAGAATGGGAAATAAGTGCTTCAAGGGTCGCTCGAGATTAGTTTTACAAATCGAATAATTCGTCTCTCAATGTTGTAGCGCAAAAATCATAGGAGGAGATGAATTTTTAAGATTGAGAGCTAAATATTAAGCTTGACAGAAGCGCCATGTAAGTAAAATTGATTGAAAAAGAATTCAATGCTGAAAATTTTTCTTAGTACTGAATCCCTAGCTCTTCCATTGCCTATTACTTGTATTTAGGGTATCATCACGCGCCGCATGACTTACTCTTGTTCAGTTAAACGCAAATAATAATCTATAAAAGAGATTTTTCTTGAATATTTATTTATGATTCAAAACTGCTTCAAGCAAAAACTATTGCGCGCACAGCCATGCGTTTTGTTTTGTATGAAGCGCCTTATCTGCAGCTACAAAATGAGTCCAAACACAGTGCAATTAACGCAAATGATAACAAAAAACAGCAATTTTTTCATGAAATATTGTAAATTATTCTTAGAAATATTTATTTATGAAACTTCAAAAATGCCTCACATGAAACTATTGCTTACATATCCGTGCTTCTTGGTTTATTAGACGTGCCTTGTTTGTAGCTACAAAATGAGCCCTCAAACAGGACAATTAACGCTAATAATAATCTATAAATAAAAAATTGTTTGAAAGAAATTAAGGTACTACCTGGGAAAAAGTCTTTCTTTATTCATAAATTCAAAAATTCCGTATGGAAAAAGTTAAAAGAGATTGTTTCAACGGTCTTTACAGCCGGAATCGCCATAGTCCTAGCTATAAAATGATGAAGAAACCCCAGAAAAATATTTTTTTTATGGTGATTTTCGACCCAGATGGTCCCCTTGAAGAAAAATATCCTAAAATGAAAAAGACTGATCTTGAATTATGTCATCCATGTGGCAGGCTCACATTGACCACCGCCACCTGAAGCAGTCAACGATCACTTCTCGAAGAGAGGAGCCTCCATCTTCTGAGCGCTTCAACGCTCGCGATCCTAGAGGAGATCCTCGTTGCCACTCAACAGATCCTCGTGCGCCCACCACCACATCTTCGTCTGCTGCCGCCCCTGCCAACCACATCCCTGTGATGACGTCAGCACGTTCCAATAACCTCATCACCGTTCCTATTGACGGCACACTCGAGCACCATTCCCAGCAGCCACCACTTCCTCACGCACAACACCAAGTGCCTCAACAAGCCCCTCCTCCTCACCACCCTCCTCCTGTGTCCATGTCTCTCCCTCCTCCCACTCCGCAGAGTTTCCATTTGAATACCATGCCACCACACTCGCTCCATGCCTCTTCGCAGCACCAACCTCCTGCTCCTCGACCATCTATCATTACGCCTTCCTTCAATAGTCCTCCTCCTAATTTCCTATCGAACTTTTCTTCTGTGCCTGGTGTATCTCACAATCAACCTCCGCCACCACTGTTCCCTCCCACCTCCGTACCCTCTACTGCCGCATCTGGGTTCCCCCTTATAGGATTCACGTCCCATGATGCAGCTTCTACTTGTCAACCAATGACTTTCCCGCCCTTGACAAGCGCTCCTCCTCACTTCTCTGCTTCCGCCATGCCTCACCCTCCGCCTCACATGCGTCCTCCAACGCAGCCGCACATGACCTCTCATTCCCAGCCCCATGGTCTCTCGTACTCGCAGTCTCATATCAATTCTCATTCTCAACCTCACATGTCATCAAATTCGCATCTGCATGTGGCCATGCACTCCCAGCCCCAGGGGCTCTCACACACCCAGCCTCAAATGACCTCTCATTCTTTGCCACATCAAGGCTCTCACATTACCGCCCCACCACCTCCTATGGCCCCACACCCTCCTTTGCAATCCACCTTCAGAGCAGGTTTGTATGACTGGCCACACAATCACCCGCCACACACTTCTCACCTGCAGCACTCCTCTCACCCGCCTCCTCCCCACTCCTCTCGTCCACCCCCACAATCAAACCACCCGCCATCCATTCCCCAACACTCCAATCACCAGCAGCCGCCTCCGCCCCAGCCTCCCACAAGCGAATATTTCTGATCTTCTAAGAGCAAGATTCTCGCGTCTAAGATCTAGCCTGTGGACAATTACGAGGTTATCGGTCGGGCCAGGTCGGCTGTTTACCATGTATGAAGGCGTGTCGTGCGATCGTGTCCAGGTGTCCATGTATATAATTACGTGTATGCCCAGCATGCCCAGGGTTCCGCTATATATGAAGACTTACCGTCGTGCGTTCATGTCCAGCAGGTATCTACCATGTTTTGTAACTTGTCGCGAGCAAACGAATTCCCGATGATACTATATTGGCATGCTGCTTGTTGGCTAACCATGTGAATTGTTAACCTTACCCCAAGTTTTGAGGATTTCTAGTTACTGACAGTAAATTTTTCGAACAGCTATCCGTTTCTTATCTTTCCTTCCAATTTTGATGAACTCGTTTACGAAAAAAGAAGCCAAAATTTGACAAGTCATGCTCACAAAGAACTGATCGAGTAAATATATCTACATAAATATTTTCAGGACATCATGACTTATTGAGACCGTCTTGGGTCATGATGAAATAATTTGTGCGCTGAATCCACAGCTCGGTAACCAAAATCACACCGACACTAATCAGTCACTTCGTTGGTAGAAGTCATCTCAGTTTTTCGTTTCACTGTTCTATTTCCCGATTATTCTTTATTACCGTCATAAATCGTGACGCCGTGCTTCTCAAATGTATCAAAAACTAAAAAAAAATGAATCAGTAATCAGATTAACGAACTCCTGAGCTTAAGCATAATATTTCATTTCGACCGTTAACACATGTTTGCAATTATACACTATAGTGTTATTATAGGATTTTAAGGAGCAAAACTTTGGCCACTTTATCGTGCGAAACCTAACATGATTTTTGCTGTCGATTGACTGCCATTTGCTACATAGTCACTAGACTGAGAGAGTTGGGGAAAAGAACCTCCTGTGCAGCTTGTGCTGGAATGATTTTTTTGCGGCTTGCTGCGTAGTAAACAATTAGGTCCTCAGTCTGCAGCATGGTTAGGTATATGAGAGGTTGCTGTGAGTGCATGTACACGTGCCTTAGCGTTTGCTAACGTTGTGAGATATATCTTGTGAAATACATAGTGGAAACTTATGAGTATACTTCTTCAAACAATATAGTTTAAAAAACGCAACAAGCCACCCGATTTATTATTTTTATTTTTTAAAAAGTTTTCTGTATTTTTGTGTTTTTTTTCCTCCGTAAGTGGAACAAATTAACTTACAATTCTAATAGCTTTAATGTTGACTAAATCAATTCAATTTTTATACACATGAATCAGAACATATTTGTTTGTATTTTTTGGTCGTATTTAAATGTTCAGACTTTTATTGGTTCCTACTGTTAGTATAGTATAGTATCTTCGGCATTAAAGTGTAGGCCTATCGCCGATTCTTGTACTTTTCTTGACTAGACTTGATCAGAGATCTTTTAAACGGAAGGTAGATTTAAAATCGCTTCTAGATATCAGTTGTTCCGTAAGGTACGAGACATTTTAAGACTAAACATATGCTCATGCATGGCCTTGTCTAGTCTGTTCTTGAACGCGTTCATACTCAGAGCGTCAACAATATCTTCAGGGAGGCTGTTCCACATGTTTGGCACTCGCAGACATTAACCAAAGCAAGCAAATTGGTTACCTGTCTTCATGGTCCAATGTTGCTTTCTGTTTCAGCTTGCTTTTTATTTACATTTAGATTATGAATTCGTACACTATAGACATATGAAAAAAATTGATGAAGGATTTTTTCGATAGTTTACTGAAGAAATCAGTCGTTTTGACAGGGGAATAGTATAGGTTCTCATTTGCGATAGACCGGAATGGTATAACATTTGGGTATATTTTTTATATTTAATTGCAAAATCGAAACGGATCTGATTATGGGCCTAAAGCGCCCATAAATTTGATTAATTTTCATATAACTTTAAATATGCTGCTACTATTATTTGCTTAGGTTATAATTTATCTCGCTGACTTGGCCGACATAAGCTATAAGAAACCGATTAATTTTGTATAAAAATCTTAAACGAGATGATCAATCTGTTTCGTCATAGACAAGATCGACTTATAATCAATCAAAATTTGTAACAAATGATATATCAGCAAAAAGTCTTCCCCTTTTTTAGGTTAGTTACTTCTGAGTTGCAAGCCTAAAACTTGCATGCACTGCATGTTTGCCGGAGCCAGTCGCCGCACACCTGACCTTGGCGCCAAAACGGCCTTCGGTGGTATCAGTCGCAGACGTGCCAACTTTTAAACATTACTGCGCACTTGAGTCATTTCCTCTTTTCATTAGTTTTTCAATTACATATCACATAATATGCAATGATTTATAACCGTGATCATCCAATTACTTATCAATTACGTAGTTATTTGTTTTTAGGCTTGAAGAGCAGAAGTCGGCACAAGTGTGCTGGTAGCATTCTCATTTGAGTGACTGCCTACTGCGTCTCAGATAGCAAACAAACGCCTCTAGATCAAGAACTCAAGATGAATGCCACCCACCAACCCTAGCTCACGCACGTTTCTTTGTTCGTTTCACGGCAAATTGCATGATTAAGTTTATCCGCATCAAAATGCATCGAGGTATGAATTGATATCCCGTCATCGCACATACGTATGTTGTCAAATAATGACTCGTATTGAGACGAAACTATTTAACCATCTCAATGACATGATTGACATCTTATGTATAAAGATATTTGATTGCACACCAATCTCATTGCACAATTCAAGAATGTTTTTACGAATTAAAAACAATAAATATGTGCAAATGAATAAGAACTCAGCATTACATCTTATTACTGTATACCGAATCGACAATTGAAGCTACTCTCAGTCTCTCTGAAAAGGAGCAAATTAAACCCATGGTTGAACTATAGTTCAACCATGAATTAAACCGATGTTGATTTGCAGAAAAGAATCAAAACGAATTAAAATAGATTAAATGATACTATTCCTTGGCAATGAGTCAATGACATCAATTAATAGCACCCACTCTGACTCTGAATTAGATGGGATTATTAAATTAAATTTGCTTCGAATTATTTGTCAGAATATTTATATATATATTTATATAACTTAGCTTTCTTCTCGTTGAGAATATACATTTGCTTTTATGTCATCTTTTTTTATTTTGTGTAACTAATCCTAGACGTAGGAAGTCAATATTTTGCATACGCAACGAAGAAGTCAGTTGAAACGGTACATTACTCCTGTCACTAACAGTTATGGGACTGTTATTGCGCCTGTATTTTTAGAGAATTAAAATATAAACCGGGTACCTTGAACATTTTGTTGTACATTGTCATGTCTTAAATTTTAAGCATTCTTAAAACCTTTGTTTTCCATTAGAAGTCAATCAAAATGCATTCTTAGAGGAATTTGTTTGATCTCGAATGTTGGGCGACCTTGTACATCCATGGTTGAATTAATACCATTAATTAATTCCCCCATTTGTATTAATTCAACCATGTTGTACGTCAATATTTTGATTTCACGTCGTTGAGGTCGAAGTGAAACGGTCGACTGTGGCTCGAGATGAGACTGACGTGCAGTGCTTGAGAGGACAGTAGAATAAGGCTACACAAGGTTAACTTTCAGAGCTTTAATTCTTCGGAGAAAAAGCGGCATTGATCAAGGTGCCAAGAATTTATATAGCAAGCGTTGAAAGTTCTTTATTTGTTGATGGTTAAACGATTAATGGTTTCGGGGTTACATTTATTGCATTCGAAACCGTTCAGAATTAAGTGCAAGTCCACGCACCTGTTCTACCGCCTTCAGTCGAGCATTAGTCGTGCTTTATCGTAAGTTAAAGAAACCGCAAGTTAATCATAACAATTTTGTTTGATTTAACGTAGATTTATTTTTTTCCTCTGATTTAGTCGTAAGAATTTTTAATAGTATACATATCTTAATTCAAAGTTAGCTAGGCTAAAAGCCGAAAATTCCTGCGCAGGCATCTTTTCAGCAATTTTAATTCTGTTTTAACCTGAGTTAAAATACTATGTGCTAAGACGTACGAAAGATCCATGGATTTAGCTGATTCATAGTCAGCCCATGTTCAGTTGTGGGCTTGTGGCTTCATAAGATCAGTAGCTACTTGTGGCTCACGCAACGTCACTCAGGGAAGCACAATCTCGGATGAAGATCACATTCCTCATGAAAAAATGTCGTTTTTAAGAACGATTAACACTGATAAATTACTCAATCCATCTTATTTATCTCTCAAAATTGTTTGCAACAGAAATATGGTGCTGCCACTAAATTTATGTACCTTACTAAGAAATGAGGCGTGGAAAATCATTGATTACGGTTTATATTGATGGGTAATTGCTGAGATATCGCGATGGAAATTGTAAAAATCAGACGCATTGATTGTTGATTCATTGTATTTTTACCTAAAAAGTTTTATATATCAAAAATATAAAAATTAATTTTTGCGCTGTATAGCCGTTTGATCCTCCGCGATGATGCTGACAATAGCGGTAACGTTTCTCACACCGTGCGACGATTGCATACTTGATAAGCCATATTGCAAATGGATCCGACAAATCCTGTTTAAATTAAATAAATTACTTAGACTTTGTGGTTGTACTGTGTACTGAGAATGTTAAAGGTAATTTAGTTTTCGTATTTGACCTGAATAGGACGAGCATGAAATATTTTGAGCGCATAGTATGTAGGCTTGGAAACGCCAATCCATCGTTAAAACTGCGCCAGTCCACGCTCTTTAAGTTTTAACCAAATAATTTTCAGCAACTCAACGCGCTTCTATTGTCCCAGTTACTCCGTCCTCATCCTCCGAGGTTGAGGTAGGTAGTCATTTATTTCTGTACCTTGGCTGGCTCTGCTTTTCAAATAAATCTACATGATTAGCATTGTTGCCTGAATTTTTTCGCCTTAACCAGACATAATAAATTATCGTGTAATTAAATCTATTGAGGTCACATCGAGATGCTCTAAACTGTCTGCTGTAAATAGACCGCAATGCTGGCGATATGCCCGAATTCACGGTCTCTCTCTTGCTCTCCCTACACGTACACCTACAGGAAGTGGTTAAAGCTCTTCGGATTAGCAAGCCACGTTAGAAACTTAATGAATTTATGTCGCCAACGCATGCAGCTCTCTAAGTTCCGTCACAAATTACGAGTAATCTCTGCTCAATGATCGACACAGATAGTCATGTTCCAAAATTATTTAGTCAAGTGATTTGTGCAATTACAATTGCTTATGTAATAATTATTTGAAGAAGACCAAGAGAATGGACGTATTTACTGTATATGTGACTGTAAATTTCGCATTAAGTAGATAATTGAGTTGATGATCTGACCAAAATACTCTCATAAAGATTACTCCAGATCAGCATAAAAAAGGTTTAACATTTATTTTTGTATGAATAATTCCTAATGAGTTATCTAAGTAAAAAATTGCATCAATAAGCTTTATAGTTCTTTCACCAGTCACTCTTATTCTTACTCGCTTTTGCGCCCACACGAATGACACGATCCGCCTTCAAAAAGCCACGATGAACGTCAGTCTTGATAGAGCGTGCGTGGGGTTAAGACGTACCGTCAACCAGTCTCTGTTTTGTAATTGACTGGTCCTTTACCTCTACAACAAGACCACAAGTGAGTGTGATAGTGTCAGTCATGATTTTTTTATGAATCAACTTTATTAATTACTCTCTCTTCTAAGTTTGTGAGACCTATTTATTTTCAAATTTAGGCTTAGTAAGAGACTGCCTTATACGAGTGGCACTCTGACGTTAACAGTATACACCGCGTTTCGCCATGCCCTGTTGAAAAACTTTCATTGCTGGCTGGTTCGTGCTTGTATTCGATTCAGTAATAAGGCCATTAAATGTATGAAAAAATAATTTTTGTTTGATTTTCAAGTATTTACCATAAATTCAGGAGTTCAATTTGTGCCGACTGATAACTGATAACTTGGCGAAATCGTAGTAAACAGTCGGTAAAGTCTTATTTTTGCATTATTCCACTTGACTTTACCTGCATTTCTCTGTAGGCAAAATTTCCTATTGCATGTATTTGAAGCTGAAAGCATACTACCAAACTTCTGAAGAAGTTTCGAAATCCATAACAAAACTCTATGCTTGAATTCCCTTGCGACATTATGAACCCTTGTAGCCCTAGTCATCCCAACGTATATACCAGTGTCTGCCGTAGGGGTTGACCATACACCGCTTTTGGAAGAACCTTGCTTCGTCACAGGAGTAAATTTTCCGTGCCAGCTGCCAAGTGTTCCGCAGATATGACGTCACTGAAACGTTCCCGGCTGCTGTGCTGAAATCGATCGACCTGCTACGGCTACGAACGGATCTTAGAGCCGGCCCAGCCGGGCTGTAAATTAGGATAACTAGATAAAACACGATGGGAAGCTGTTCGCTAAAAATTCGGGTGCACATTCTTGTGTTCTATATGGTAATTTAGAATGTAGATGATAGCTGGACACTGTCTAATAACTTGATGGAAAAACATGGATCTGTATCCGTGACGATGGCGTAATTCTCTTGCCTGCATGGAATAGATTTAAGTTTTTCATAGTGTTCACAGATTCTGGAAATTAGACTTGACAATACTAAGCAAATCTTGAGGCATCTCTCGTCTCACCGCAATATTTGTGAAATTCTCAAGTAGCTTATAAATAATTTTTGCTTGACAATCAATACAAAGTCGTCTTAGTTATCCCAGCGACTAGATTATGAGCTTACATCCCTGTCGCCAGTCCGCTGCATTCTCGCTCTAACCAAGGCTATGGCATTCTGCGCACTACGTCTGTTCAGTAGCCTAACTGTCCTTACAACTTGCATTTTAAGTGCTCATTCCAAATGATAATAATAAAGCTTCTTCCATTCAAATGATCGGAAACGGTAAAAGTGAAATAAATTTAATTCATTTCCGTCTGTGCTTTCGAGTATTTATCACTGTGTTGTATATTGAACGCTATTCGTATGGAGCCTCTGAAACAATCTCTGAAGCATACAGCTGGCAGCCATAAGTTTGGTTGTGCAATTCTTAAGTACAAATAATATTTAAAATTTCAAAACGTTGTACCGCGCTACATTGCCGTGCAGAAATCGCCCGCGACGTGTTCGCAGGTAGACAGCAGGTACATGTTTTTCGACCGTTATGCGTCTCTAGGCCATTACGTGCACTTGGGCCGCTACGTGCACTTGGGCTGCTTCGTGCACATGGGACGGGGCGCTACGTGCACTTGGGACGGGACGCTACGTGTGCACTTGGGACGCTACGTGCACTTGGGACGCCACGTGCACTTGGGACGCTACGTGCACTTGGCCGCTACATACACTCTGTTAAAACGTAGTTTTTTTTTATAGTACGGCACGTGAAATATTGAAAGCACATGGCAGGTGCCGGGCCATATCTGTGACAGCCACAAATGCTTGCGGCGTTTCTTCTGCCTAATTTAGGTCATCGTTGTTCCTCGTGGCTGGCTAAGGCTCGCCCCAATACCTTGTAACCAATAGCCAAGGTATTAGGCTCATATTTTTGTCTTAGTTCTTCTCTTATCATTGCAATATTGAATCAGATCTTGTCGTCGTTGAACTCATTTTTTTTAATTTAAATGATGGATAGATAGCTTGGGAGAAAATCTAGCTAGAAAATATTGTACGTACCCTTGCGTGAATTTATCCTGCATTACTACTTGGCAATCCGACATTAATGATTTCTGATTGGCAATATGGTGTGCATATTTTTTTGTTGTCAAACAACGGCTCAGGTTATCAGCAAATTGTACGATAAAATCGATGGTAAATATCGCACTAGGAATATGATACTGTCTGACAATTTTTCTTGGCGTCGAAGAAACATTTAGTCTGTACTCCTGCCGCCACTATTTTTAAATGATGCTTGCAAGCTAATAATATAGCTCAAGGACAACTGGTCTAACCTGCTCCGCTGCCCAATCAGGAAGTCGCAATAGTCTGGCGCTGTTCTAGGTCGTTGAGGGGCTGGGTGTGGGATCCCTGCTTTCTACGGCGAGCTAACTTTCACTTTCATCTGTCAATTCATTGTACATAAACATATTATGTGTAATTTTTATATGGTTTATTCCGTTTTTCAATTAAAAAGGCAATTCACCATGCATGTGACATTTTTATTTATCGATCCATGTTTTCTCACCGGATTGGTTCATTTAAGATAAATGTTAGCTGACTTGAATATAATCGGTTTATATTCTAAAATGTGTTTTGGTATCAGCTGTTCATACTTCATCCCATTTCTGAGTCCTGTGTGTAAATAATACTCACAGACAATGTTATTATTTATAAGGCTATTTAAATAAGAAATATGAGAACACGATGGATTCACGGTTTCATCAAGGGTTTATCCACTAGAATATCGAGAAAATGCACGTGAAGGCTCGTCAATCCATTCAAGTAGATTTGTTGAACAAACCAAGCTTGTAAGTTCAACGATTCTCAGACTACTAGCCAGAAATTAAATTTTTCATTGTCAATGGAAATGTATGAAGTTCTTTTGGAAAACGTGAGCCTGATGAGGGTTAGCTCGATTTATGGTATTACAAGCAACAATTATAGCTTCGCAAAATAGTGACGAACTCAAGCGTTTCAAAACAATTGTTCCAAGTTTAAAAAGATTTGCTATGACGTGGGTTCATTGAGTGACAGCTCTATATTCGCATACTGTAACAATGAAATATGTAGCAAGAACAGATTGTTTAAACGCTGCTCTGGTTTACCACGAGGCAGGTGTGGTCCCCCGTTTAATTGTTTCTGTTGGCGACCTCGCCAAGCTTGCGACAGGTGCTACTAATAAGCGCTTATGGTGTCAGATTCTAGACTGTGTTTATTGTTGAACACTTCATGATGTTCTTATCTTCATGAGAGCACTTAATTATATGGTCTCACCGCTAAGCGTCTCACATGAGATCTAATTTTACTCAGGACCAGATCAAGCTGAACGTCACGACCGCACATGACGCTGATTCACGCATCGCAATTCGATCTCGTGCTTTGCGTACTACGTCATGTCATTTTTAAAAAAGGTTTATTACACTAGGAACGGATATGCTGTTGCCATCTATCATGCTTCATTTACGTTTTTCCAGTCATGCTATCGCTGACATTATCTATCCGGTTATTTTTGGCGGCAGTATTCGAGTTGTTCAATAGGTGGAAATATTTCGAATGATTAATTCTTTGAAATTTGTCGAGTCCTTCATTTGATGCTATTTTCCGAGACTTTCATTTGGTAGCGTTTTTTAGTAATTCGGCATCCTCCGTAATTGCGGCTTGCCGGTCAACAACAAGAACATTCCTTCTTCGTGTGATGCGTGCTTTCACCTGACACTTTGATTTAATCGTAATTGTAGATCGCCTGCTATTTAAGCGGTTTTCAATTTAGGCTAGTCACTTCAATACGTCCAAAATACGTGACATGCATTTTTTTGCTAGAACAAAGTTTCTGTGTGATACGAGTATGATGAGGCAGGTTTAACCCTTTCACGGGTAAGTTACCATATATGATCACTTGAAATCGCGTCACAAAAAGCCTCACCACGGCCTCCTGTTTGTTTTTGAGGCATCCTTATAATGCCTCAGTCAATCACTAATTATCTGACCATCGTTCTATCTAATAGCATCACCAGCTGCAAAGTCCACAAATTGAAATATGAGCATTTAAATGAAGGTTTTGACTCGGACAATGGAATTGATGCTCTTTCCTCATTTTCTTCAAAATTTGGAAGTATCAATATATATATTTATTTATTTTGGCAACTTGATTAAATTTAATTAAATTATATTTTTATGTTTCTAATTTTTCATTTGCATAAACTGAATTTTAATTATAAAAAAAAAATTTGTGTACTGATTGCATTTATTGAATTCTTCAAGTGCGATTTAAAGCTTCAATAGGCAAAATTTGCAAAAATCCATAGAAATAAATATATTGTATAATACTTCTTATTTTCTTGAAATGGTTTCTGAAATTTTAATTTCTGGATATTTCAATGCTTGCCCGCTAAAGGGATAATGCAGACCTCAATCTATCATCGATTAGAATAACTTACTGGCAATGAGCTTTACTGGTTTAGGACTTGAGGTTTAGTTACTCGTCGATAGTGTTACCGGCGCGCGTACGATTATGTTGGTAACAACGATTGATGTTTAGAACTGCGTACATGCAATGCGTCAAGTAAGATATGCAGGAAAATGACCCACTTGATGTCAAGCTTATCTCAAGGCAAATCGTGTTTGTGAACAGGGAGGGGATCACTTCCTCTTTACGAGAGAGCGATGCTCACTGATATGATAACGAGAGCTTTAGGAGTGGTTATCCGTGAGCTATAATTGCGAATATTGAGACATGCTTCGCAATGGCGGCTCCCATGGAACCCTCCGTTGGAAATATGAGCAATTGAAGAAGCGATTACAACAGTCAGCACTAGATTGTTTCATCCATTTGTTCTACCTGTTAATTGCAATAATTGGTAGTTTAAAATAATGCCCAAATCTTGAAAGAGTATATCGCTAATCCAATGATACAAGCATATACTCGTTTGTACCGTTGTACGGTTACTGTGGGAACGGTAACCGTATAATCCAAATAACTTCATAATTCCGAATATAATGGATGCGTATTTCCTTCTGAAGTTTTAAAAAAAATTACTTGCGTCATGATAAAACTCACCTGAAATTAATGATGAACCGAACTGACGCACTTTTCCGAATGGTGGTGCACTTTTTGCCCTTTAATGAGCCATACCGTCCCAGTTGGCTCCGCAATAGGGCGTATCAGTGCTACGTCCGCTCTTTGCGCCTGCTGTTGACAAAGTGTCACCATTTGCACAATTTGTATAAACCTGTACACGAAGGTTTAGAAACGTCTCATTAATTTGTCTCTGGCACCACGAAGGGACACTACCGTCTCACTAATTTGTCTCTGGCACCACGCAGAGACACTACCACCTCACTAATCTGTCTCTGTCAGTGACGGAAGCGTACGTGACTCTCGCGACGACAGACGGGTACGGCGTGGGAGCGTTGGTGCTGGGACACTCGCTGCTCTCTCACGGCACCACCCGTCAGCTCTGCATCCTCGTCACCCCGGGCGTGTCGGAGCAAGTCAGGTGAGCCATGATCTTATGTAGGGTCGTGTTGTGGGGTGAACACAAGCCCGTAATTGATGTTACGGGGGATATTGATGTTACGGGGGATATTGATGTTACGGGTTGATATTACGGGGGGATGTTGTATTACGGGGATTTTGATGTTACGTGTTGATGTTACGGGGGATGCTGATGTTACGGGGGATGTTGATGTTACGGGGGATGTTGATGTTACGGGGGATGTTGATGTTACGGGGGATGTTGATGTTATGGGTGATTTGATGTTATGGGGGATATTGATATTACAGGAGAATTTTTCTCTGGTACGTAACGCAACACATGGATGCATTTTATGAAATAACTTGTCTGTTCAGAATCCTGATATAGAATTCAAATTTCGTGACGTATATGGTCAAGATAATGTGGCTTAAATGAAGTGCTGTTAATGCCTCTAAATTTCAAACCAAACACGAGCACAAGATGTCGCCTGGAACGACTGTGGACTGAAACTGTGTGACTAAAAGGACTGAGTCAAGATTTGCCAGCGTTGACTCGAGATAGTCTTGTCCTTGAAAACATTTGAACAGTTGGCTGCTCCAACATCGAGCCAACGCTGACCTCTTAGTACTACAATGTAATGATCCTTTGCGATGCTGTTTCTAGGCTTAGGTTCTGCTCGATATTCCTAACTTTCAGAGGATCTCTCTGAATGCTGACTATGACATCCACAACACAGATCGGCGGAGTCACATGCTTTTATTAGGGTAACTGTGATTACAGTTACCCTGATGTATATATATCTCTTGGTAACTGTACCACTACTAGCAATACAATATACAGATACCATTACCAGATCGGCGCTGTCACAAGTGTACCACAATGTGGTCCTTGTGGACGTGATGGACTCGGGGGACAGCGCTCATCTGGCGCTACTGGAGCGTCCAGAGCTGGGCATCACCTTCACCAAGCTGCACTGCTGGACCCTCACCCAGTACACCAAGTGTGTCTTTCTCGACGCCGACACACTTGTGAGTCATCCAGTTACTTGCTCCTAACCCTGCCTGATATGAGTAACGGGAGCAATATTGTCACAAGCCTACTTCCCAAAAAGGATACGTTCTAGTGAGCGCAAATGACTTGCACTGATGATTGCCGCCGCGTACGACAACTTTAAAATGTTCTCTGTTGCGTACAAACGTCCTCAGGTTGCTACACTCAATAGTTTACGTATAATTTAAGTTGAAAGTTTAACTTTAAAATGTTCTCTGTTGCGTACAAACGTCCTCAGGTTGCTACACTCAATAGTTTACGTATAATTTATGTTAGAAGTTACGTTCCAGGAAAGTGACATACGGCGGTAGAGGGTTAACTTGCTAACGTTTTTGTACTCTTATCAGAATATACTATAGCGTTGTCAGCGTTCAAGATTTAGCCATCATCACGCCTGTTGCCGATTTTGAACACTGCAGAATTCTCTCCGTTAGATGTGGGTCATGAACCCACAACTCGCTGCTCTAATCTTGGTATCTAAATCGCTGCTTGGTGCTCTGTATACATATGCTTAGAGTTAGATCGTGTTAAATAATTTTAATCATGGTTTACGATTTTATGATATCTAATAACTAATCATCATAATTTCATTTGGAATCAAAGTTAGTGCTAAATTTTGATAATAAATGGCCTCCCCATATTTTTCACCTCTCAACAACGATAACTTGAGCCCTTGGTGGGTACCGTATTACCGTATCTCTGGTAAAGTGCACCGAACACCGCATTCCCTTTGGTTTTATACTCCGATGCCGAACTGCTGAACACCGTATTCTCCGCACCCACACACTGACGCCTAACACTACACTCACCACATATACCACACTCACCACATATACCACACTCACCACATATACCACACTCACCACATATACCACACTCACCACATATACCACACTCCCACATTCACCATTCGCCGCATTCACCACTCACCAGACTGACGTAGCTTATCTGCGTGCAGGCCCTGCAGAACACAGACGAGCTCTTCACGCAGCCTGAGTTGTCTGCCGCGTGCGACGTGGGTTGGCCTGACTGCTTCAACTCTGGCATGTTTGTCTTCGTGCCGTCCCAAGAAACTTATGAACAATTGCTAGATTTTGCTAAAACCAAGGGAAGTTTCGACGGCGGTGACCAAGGACTCCTCAATTCTTTCTTCCCGAACTGGCACAGATTATCCTTCGTGTACAATATGGTGGCGACGGCCTGCTACACTTACCTGCCTGCCTTCAAGGAGTGAGTCATGTCTGCCTTTTACTGTAGCTTTCAATTAGTTCTTGGTATTAACCCTATACTCAAGCTTTCAATTAGTTCGTAGTATTAACCCCTACACCCCCGCCTTCAATTAGTTCGTAGTATTAACCCTACACTCCCGCCTTCAATTAGTTCTTAGTATTAACCCCTACACTCCCGCCTTCAATTAGTTCTTAGTATTAACCCTACACCCCGCCTTCAATTAGTTCTTAGTATTAACCCTACACCCCGCCTTCAATTAGTTGGTAGTATTAATTAACCCTACACTCCCGCCTTAAATTAGTTTGTAATATTAACCTCTAACCACGAACTTCCCGGGTTCTGTGGTTATAAAAAAATTTCAATAGTTGTGAATTCTGGACATTTCGGGTAAAAGAATGTCTGAAATTTCTTTAGATAATTGATCGTTTTTTTAAGTAAAAGTTGCTTCGACTGTGCTTGAATTCGTTTCGAAAACTTTTCAGACAATATTGTTCATAAGAATTGGTTCCCGATGTAGTGTTCTTGTTATATTCCAAGAAAAAAAAAGGGTTTGTGTCCCTTTCGTCTACAGGAGTTGGTGGTAGGTATGCGGCTCCGTTTCCTGCCTTTACAAAGAGCGTGTTTCCGTGAATGACAATAATGATGATAATAATCATATATAACAATAATAATATAATGGCGGTTTAGCGTTTATTAGGTCGTAGGCCTGTCGCCGATTCTTAATTAACATAATATGATATTCACAGCTTGTTGTGGTTTCAAACTCACAACTCGCTGCTCCAATTTTGCTTTGCTTAACCGCCCGGCCTCCTCGCCGATTCTGACAAACTGTCGCTCAGAGCTGGGATCGAAAACGCACCTCTGCTCCTATGTCACCCCTAGACCACCCTGCCCCAACCGCTGGGCCACCCTGCCCAATGGATGGCCGTGGCATGGCATAAAATATTCGTGGTATGGGGTTGCCTTATGGTATGACAGAAATGATAACGATGTTCTCCGTACAGGTTCGGTCGTAACGTAAAGCTAGTGCACTTCTTGGGCTCGACGAAGCCGTGGCACGGCGAGAGCGCCGCACAGCCTGGATCAGCGTATGGATCGTTCGTGGGGGCCTGGTGGACCATTTACCGTGAACTCGTGCGGCCCAGCATGCCACAGTCGGTGAGTCTTGTGGCACTGTGGCGTGTGTGGCTGTGTGGTAATGCCCGCCCTCAACCAAGCTTGCCACCGCAGTGGCATCGGTTGTTGCTAAACGTGCTGTAATGCTTCCATATGACCGTCGATTGCTTGCGACTACACTTGGCACCGATTGGCGTTTCGCGCTATTTAAACGTGACTATTTGTACTCCAGATGCACTCATGCGACCGATTACCCTATTCCGACTCCAAATTGCTCCATATATGTGGCTCCAAATATGTTTACTGCGACCGTTCAACTTCGAGCATATCTCCACTCGTTTCGCAGCCTTCTTGATTTCACTGACGTCCGACACCAGATCATGAAATTTATGTAATGAAAGAATGAAGTTAGAAAAATCGTGTTGAAAGGTGTTGCCTTGGTATCTAGCACTTCGGTCGCAATGCTCTCGTTCTACCGGATCTGTCATGTTTCTGTGACGTCCATCATTACTGATGTACCGTATCAATCGCGTGGTCCGATAACGTAGCTCATATAACAGATCCGTACGTTCATTGCAATGGAAAAACGAGCCCATTTTTATTTTACATATTTTACTTAAAATTTCAATTAGTACGGCATTTCATTTACATTGCAGTTGTAACTTCTATGTGTTTCTCGTATTTTCTTTGTCGCTCTTACCTGTACTGTGCAAACTGTCAAAAAATTTTAAAACTTGTTTGACTTGTTATTAAGGTATTTATGTACCAATATGCTTTGTTCAGCATATGCTGGACTGCTATTGCTCGAGCAAGATTGTCATTTTTCTAGGATTACACCTAATTTAATATGATCAATGTTCCGTGTCGTTTGTCTCAGTTCCAGCTTCCCAACCCAGCCCGAAGCAGCATAGCTCAAACCTTGCACTTAATCATCCTGAGCCTGCGTTGCCCGTGCAGATTTGTATAGCGGTTATGTATATTAATTCTGTAGCAGCAATGTGCATTAATTGGCTTTCGTTTCGTCTAGTGTGCGTTGACTAACTCGGTGGTCGTCCATTAACAGGAAGCCAAGTTTGACCCTACCGATGCCCCACCCCAACAACAGGAACAATTTCCAGCACAGGTAAATTTCTAAACTCTCGGTTGTTTCACTTATAATTTCTTCCATATTCTCGTTATCGGTCATTTTATTTCGCTATTATTGGTCGGTTGTGCTCGAGCATTTTCTCTTCATACTAATTTTTATGATTTCATTAAGTCTTCTCTTGAGCGCACCTCTTGAGTTTAGCAATTTTTTATTCGAATATTTACTTCACCTGGCAACGTGAGTATCCATGATATTCGTTTGTAGAAATGTCGTTGATGCCCTTAGTTTTTTGGATCAGTTTAGAAGGATAAATTATTTCCTTCAAACTTCAAATTTTCGTAACATTAAGAGTGCATCTCCACCCTCATCCGTTTTCTGGATGTCACTGAATCCTTGTTTTCTGCTCACCCTGCACTGAGAGTCTCGACTGCATCATGTTCACTGCTCACTGAGCGTCTCGACTGCATCATGTTCACTGCTCACTGAGCGTTTCGACTGCATCATGTTCACTGCTCACTGAGCGTCTCGACTGCATCATGTTCACTGCTCACTGAACGTCTCGACTGCATCATGTTCATGGTATTACAGTAATTAAATGCCAGCCTGCAAGGCGACATCTGGCTTATTGACCGTTCAGAAACGCAATTTCGTCGTCGCCAACAATAGCAACATTTTGTCCGGTACATTTTAATGCTGGAACATAGTTAGCATGCACCAAGGTATCATTTAATTCATGCCAACACTTCCGCAATTCCTCTATGCTAATCTACCAGTCCAACATAGTTATGAAGTAGATATCTCACAACAGTGGTTCTTAACTAACGATGTCGCCTTCAAGGGGCAATTGACCAATTTTTGTGGGGTAGAGGAGGAGTGAGTGTTTTAATTTAACCACATCTATCAACGATGATATTTATGAAACTCTTAACATGTTTTTTTTCTAATAAAGCTAATAAAACGTTACATTTCTGGCACCACTACCTGGCGAGGTTAGTTGCACGTCGGCTCCGGTAGGGGGCGGTTTGACATCAGCTAACGTTGCACTCGACATGACATGTGTGGTTGGTAGCTAGTGTGTGGTCCGCGGGGATTAATTTATTTAGCGTTTTGAATAAATTCATTACAGAGGGGATAATTTTTATGCTGTAAAATTGTAAATTGTATAGTGTAAAATGCTTTTTTCATACTCGTTCGTGTTTAAACAGTATTTAATTTTCAATTCAGAAAGTATTTTATATATTGTTGAGTATACACTATTTTATATTTTTTGTTCCATTACTTGTATAATTGATTTCGGAAGTACAGTGTTATAGCTAGCATTTCCTTTCGCCCCTCCTATCAACCTAAATGATGCACGTGTTTTGATTTTAAAATCACCTGCATATTTTGTATTTTAAAATATTTGTTTTTCTGATTTAAAATCGGAGTGTGCCGCACAGAGGTTTGTTCGAGCAGATACAAAAATTTCCAATTAGCTCTCTATAATAAGAATTCAATCCTATTCAACGCCACTATTGTTGATAGAGTAGATTTAGACATATGCTTTGGCTGCAATTTAATATCAAAATGACTAATTCGATTCGTGAATTTTCAGACAAAGCAAATGCTAAAAAAAAATGAAATTAACGGATAAATAAAGTTCACTCTTGAATCTGCTAATCGAAGCTTCATCTCGTCGTTCATCGTATATTTAACATCAATTAAATCAATATCAAATTCAAACAAAGTTTCGTTTTGTTGCTGCTCGAACACGAAAGCGTGCGATCTCCTCTCAGCACTGATGCCACTAGCCGCTCGTGATGCTTCCCATCGTTTTGTTGTTGAGATTCCGCATAAATCTTCAATTTTCCTCATTTTGCTTCCTCGTGTGAGATTTGCTGTAGCTACACGTGTGATTCTAAAGTGATATTCTTTGGCCCGTGACCCATAAAAATTTCTGTGTTGTACAAATTAAGGTATCTATTTTAACCCTGGTTTCTTGCTGATCATTAACCAACCTTCTTCGTATTACAAGCTGCCCGATAATTCTGTGGATAACTCTTACACGTGGCCTGCTCCCGAGCAGAGATCGACATCAGGCGGCCACTTGGAGGTAAATCTCTCTGCATCTTCTTCCCACTCTGGTGCACACTCTGGTGCACACTCTGGTGCACTCTCTGATGCCCACTCTGATGCTCACTCTGGTGCACACTCTGATGCCCACTCTGGCCTTACATCGTCTGCCCAAGGGATCTCTCCCTATGATGATGCTAACCATCTATCCCGAACTTTTGATCCTGACAGCCATCACCAACAACAAATAAGTCACAGACAAGATGACAGTGAAATTGAATCGAATATCGATGTCTTACATGTACACAAACAGACATCACAGCACAACCAAGATCCTGATATCACCAGGTCTGATCAGCCTGAACATCGCTCAGAACACCACACGGAACACGCAACATCTCCAATTGATTGTTATGTAGCCCCTGTGAATGATAAAGCTAAGCACCAGCACGCTTATGATGATGTACGTTCCATGATATCTAACTTGATACCCACCGCAGTCCAGTCATTTGATCCTGTAAGAACTCGTGATAATGCCCCACATGCCGCGCATGGCATCAATAAAACTGGATCCCAGCCATCGTCTGGTGATGGAGGTCTGCCAGCTCCCAGTGTTAGTCATGGAAAATCTCCGAGTGAGGTAATTGTCTCGCCTTGGTAGCGCCAGTGTTCGTGATGCTTGGGTTCCTTAGAGGTGGTGTTTCATAGTAGCTTGTTTACTGTGCCAGAAAGGCGCTAGGGTTGGTTTTATCCAGTCGTTCACGCCTATGAATACTCGCTGCTTTATCGCTAGTTTCGCCCCGTGTCATCCGTACAGTGAAGTGGATGAACTTGGTTTAACTTGAGTTTGCATGTTACTCAATTCCTTAAAAGTATCGCGCTAATGAATCATTTGCTTAAGAAGAATCATTTTGTCTTTGTTACTCATTATTCCAAACCTTATCTCGCACTCACAGCATCGCATCTTCTTCTGGGCAAATGAACATTAAAATTAATTTGTAGAGAACAATTTTGTATGAAGGCACAGGATTTGCATTGCACATTGAAAGAAACAAAGTTTCAACCATGTTTCGCTATTTCTTCAGGATAACTATGCTTTAAAGCAAAATTTTCCCAGCTGGTAAAAAATAACAGAAATCGCCTCATGAGTGTTAAAAGTCATAAAATTTTAGGATCACCCAAATCCGAATTATAATTGTAACTAAAATCAGGCCTAGAAGAGGACTGACGAACAGCATAATCTAAATGGAATCCTGAACATCATTGTTCAACATTGAACCGTTTTGCCATTGTTTGTCGTTGTTTTTAGTCAAGTTTGTGAGCTCACTGCTCAGTTCATACGACGTCACTTCCATGTAAAGTTTTAGTCGTTAATTTGTCAGGTGCCTGAGCTCACAAGCGCTCCTTACGCTGCATCGCTCGCCTTGGTTCATATTGCCATTTTTCTGGTTCATTCAAAAGGTGTCGGGGTTCGTAGGTCATTGAGAATAGGTCGACTCGATTTAGAGTTCATTGATTTGGCAGCGAAGTAACTAACAAAAGCCCAAGCCGTTTCACAACCGTTGGTGGTTCGGATCATCGTAGTGAGTTTGACAGGCGGAATTTGATTTATTTAGTGAACTTCATTGAAACTATAAGCCGAATGGGTTTTTTGATGGAACCGGCGACAAAATTACTGAGCTGCTTCCTCTTCTGCCGATCTAAACTATTCCCTCCTCCTAAGCTTGAAGACCTTCAAGCCGAATCCCACTTTTAGGTTTAACTTTCATAGAAGAGTGCAGCTTAACTAACCTTCACATCCAAACACAACTGTTGTGGTTGCCAAGTATCTAAGGGTGTTCTTTGATACTATAATTCAAGTTGCATTCGAATAGTTCCATAATGCCGGTGTTATTATGGATGAAAGACCATGTGCAAAGTCGCTGCGAACGAAAAATTGATGAAAGTGAGAGCGGTTCCTGGTATCGCTTCGGCGTAGGTACTTGTGTTAAGAGTATCGAGCTTCAAAGTATTTTTAGCTGTTTTTTTTTCTCGTAATTGGATACGTGGACCAATTCTGAATCCCTCAAACTGATTAACACTGATGATTCAATGAGCTAACCTGTATTGAACAATTGACGCTGTTGAAATTTTCAACAGGGCGTTCACTAGCTTTGGCTTTATTTTTTTTATTCACATATACAAATGCTGTAGTTTCTCCCGCCTCACTTGAGTTGGTTGACCTGCTTATTTCACTTCCTCGTCTCATGTTATTTGGTGAGGTTGTTGTGTACATTATTGTCCATCTGCTGTAATTCTCAAATAATTGTGCATAATAGTGATATTGTTTTATCTCAGTACCCTGTCCTGATACTAACTGATATAACTTCTAATAGAAAATGCTCACTAACTTCTCACTTTTAACATTCGTCATATGATGTAGTTAATTCTCTATCATTACTCGTACAAAATACTAACGTTGAGTTACATTTTAAAATGTTTGTGTATATATTTTGGTTATTTTAAGTACACTTGCATTCTCCCTCTGATTTAAGTTAATGATCTAGCGTCTCCATTTCTATTTGAAGTCTAAATTTTTCGCCCCCCCCCCCCCTTTATGTTTCATTTACGTAAAGACGTTCTATCTGTAAATTCGTATTTTATGTATAATTTGTATCGAAAGCACCTAGTAATGTCTTTATCTCTCCTTGATTTATTATTTGTGCTAATTTGTCTATCACCGATTCCTTATTTTTTCATCTATGGCTTTGATGGAATTTTATTTCAATTATTTCTTTAATATCTTAACTTCAGAAAGACGGCAAACTCGATTAACTTACTCGTACCCACATCCACTCTGTGTACGCTCCTGATTACGTCTTTCTTTGCTCCACTTACGCAATAATATTAATAATAAACTGCCTGTAAACTATACACATTTAAATCACTGACACTTGACGCGCTACTTGCACGTGTGCAGCTCGTCGAGCACTTCTCGAAGCTGTCTACCAACGAGAACCTGGTGGAGGGACGGCAGCGCTGGGAGGCCGGTCGTCCTGAGTACATGGGGCGCGACTCCTTCGACAACATCATGGCTTACATCCAGTCTAGAATCAATAAATAAGCGTATATGTAAACGCACAAATAATTTCAACTGCTTCCTTAGCTGCGTATTAGTGTTAACATTGTTCGTAACGTCGAGGAAGAATTTCAGTAAAAAATTTAAAGTCCTCAATATGCTTTCTCTTACCGGCGTGGATATAGCAAACAATCTTGTTATTCCCTCATTGGATGCAGTGAATGTCGAAGAAATTTTAGAACCACGCGCAAGCACTCACTTGATTCCGTGAGTAGATTACATACCGTTGCAGCTTGTACCTCTGACTTCTCAACACTGATGTTCGTTGGTTAACCCTCTACCGCCGTATGTTACTCTTCAGGCACGAACTTTCAACTTGAATTATAAGCAAACTATTGAGTGTGGCAACCACCTGTAATTAAGCGAGTTTCCATAGCAAGATCCCTAACGTATCTGTAACACACCAAGAATCGCAGATGTAATGCGCGGATCTTTGGCAGGTATGACTATATTTGATACTTGTTAATGACATAAGCTTACGTTGAACATAAATTTTTTCTCTATCAAAGAATCTTCAGAGCATATCTGTTCAAATTGACGAGCAAAAATATGCAAATCCATCATTCGAAATTGAAGATTTGGCAAGAGCCAGGCACCGTCTGAGTGGAAGGGAAATTTTGTAGGGTAGTAGAAAACACCAGCCATTATTTCATGAGCTGTGCTTCACCATCATATCTCTAGAAAAATTTTCGTCGATCAAGGAATTACGCAATTTCTCTATGAAAAACGGTTGAGAGAAATGCTTGTGAAATTTCTCCCCTCCCCACCCCTAATAATGTGTGATTAAACAGCTGCAGCCTCGCAAACATAGTTGGAACTTCTTAAATACGTTCGGTGGTCCGCACTCAAGCCTTGAATTTAGGCCTAAGAAATCTTCAACGCCGCGCCTGAACATACGATAGTTGTAGGTCGTGCGATTGGCGTAATCATTTGAGTTTGCAGCCTCTGATGTGCCAAGTTGTGTCGTAATTATATCCAAAGTTTACTGGAAGGAAAACAAATTGATTCGCAGCATTAATAATGTAATTTAGGATTAATCAACGGAATTTGTGGATGAGTACTCTTTGAAGGGCATTGATCAAGCAAAACGATCTTATGTTAAAAATTCCCGGAAACATAATTTTGTAGTAAGCTTCACAAATACGCGATCATAATGAGCAAGCTCCTGAAATCTTTATCGCGGCAACTAATGCAATCCACGCTTAAGCTCGCAACTAGACATAATCGAATGATTATCAGGTAAAGCTGCAGCAAAAACAAAGAGAAATGTTTCTTGACTTTCGGACTATATATGAGTGCTGGTCAACTAGAACTATTCCCAGGAACTCCGATTTTAAAATAAATCGATCACTTTGAGGCAACTTTAATATGGCGCAAATAAGTGAGGTGGGGGATGTGCTAGGTATTGGGGGCAGAGTACTGCAAGCAATAAGCTGACAATAATACGGGATTTGGCTATGAGTAGCCTATCACCATCCGTAATTTCTCAAACCTATCCTCTTATTCCTAAGCTGAATCCTATCTTTAGATAATTATGGGACATACGACAGTTAGGAATAGTTCGAGAATCCTAATACATCCAATTTAAGAGATTTTTGCAGCAAGGGCGCTGTGCAGGTGATATATCTGGTGGGTCCATCGGTCGAGAGCGGCGTAGCGGTTGCTGCCCTGGTGCTGCATGGGCGTGCCGCTGCGGACCTCCAACACTTGCGCCACCTCGTCTATGCGGCCCTCAATCGTTCTGCAAACAACACACATTAATGCACGTAGGAAAACCGCAAACTCGGGCCGAATTTATAAAAAGAATACTGTTTTGAACTTAATTTAAAACCGTGAGTAATTTCAATAGCAAACAATTGTAACTTTCTAGATGTTTTATTGTCAAGTCACACACGAGCATTGCAACCAGTACTGCGTTCGCGTGCGGGTATATGAGTGATAGAAACGAAAAGAAAAAACTTACTATAGTGAGACGGTGATCGCTTCCAACTTGGGAGCGTAGAGACCAATGAAATAAACGAATATAGCATTTTTTACCGAGACGCTTCGAACATGGCTTCTGATAGTTATACTACATTAAAGAAAAGACAACTAACTGGTGTAATATGCAAGATTCCTAATTTAGACTAGGTCTTGGATGACGCAGAATTGTTGTAGTAACTCACTTGTCTAGTATGCACTGCACCAGTAAATTTTCCACCTCTACGGTGTCAATGTTCAGCTCGCGGGAGATGAAGGGGATGTAGATCCTCGTGTAGGGCTTAATGAGCTTGATCAGGACCTGGGTGCGAATGTTGCACAACAAATCTGCACACGATCGAAGGCAAACAATGATTTATTTACATGCCTTTACTAAAAGGATGGATGAGATTGATCAGGCGTATTCTTTTATCATTGATATGATTTTAGATTAACGCTCATGCTATTATCATCATACATAAGGAATTAAAGGGAACAGCAAAGCATCTAGGAATAATTAAAGGTCTATGAGACTTAGCTGAACAGTTGGACTTGATGGTGCATGTTCGGGTTAATGTATTAAAAAGTAATGTCAAAATGAAGAAAATGCCCAAGTCACCAGGATCTGTAAGTGATGTCGACATACAGGGAACAAAATATGCTCAATTTGCAAAGTATTAACGAATGAAATTTCCTAAATCCCAAAACGTTTATGGTACGAATCACATTAACGGTTCAAGTATCGGTATATATGTGCTTATGGGTACGAATACAGGCAAGCCTGTAACGTCATAGCTCGAACATGAATAATTTGCTACACGGATGCACTATGAAACTTCAACTTTTATAAACTAAAAAGACTTATTTCAACTAAACATTGAGATGATGTTGAATCATTTTCAACCTCAACCGCATCCACGCCAACATGCTCCTAACAGAGTAAACATCTGATTTTCCATTTGTGATTCTATCAAACAATTATACCAAGAACTCTTCAGCTTGATAATCTTCATCTCTGAAATTATTGGGAACAAAACACGTCTATTTATGTATTCACAAGCTTGGATTACCTTCAATGTGCTCGCGAATGAAAGCGTCCTGCATGATGATCTCTCTGTTGACGCGCAGGATAGACTCGAACGAGTTGATGTCGTCGTTCTGGTAGGCGACCACCAAGTTGGTCATGGCCAGGATCTCTGGGTCATTCTTGTATGGCTTGGCTTCTTGTGAGTCAAAGGGATTGATGCCTGACTTCATTAACCTACAAAAAAAGAAAATGAAGGAAAACATCAAACCATATACTGGCCAAAAAAATATTCTTCAAGGTGAGGCTTGAGGCTTTCCATAAAAATCAAATTAGTTGAATTAAATGGTACCTCTGAGTCCGATTGAATAATTTGCCTGTAGTGAAATGGCTTAATAAACAAATATTTTCACAGTATTGAAAATAATGTTACATCTAAGACGTTCATTAAGCAAAAAGAAAAACACACTGCAATGACCAAATCTTGTTGCCAAAAGAAAACAAGACTTCAAGATAAGCAATAACGCAATAAATCGCAGGTAGCTATATTGACATTTATTTGAATCCTTGAGAATTGTAACCTTGATTGATTTTGATTCAAAAGCAACAACTCTGAACCAGGAACTAACATGTTAGCCAACACGAGGTACTTGAGACAGGTCGTTCTCCGAAAGCTGCCAGATTCGTCATAATTCTTGAAGGCCTCAAAGAAGTCTGTGTGAGCTTTTTCAAACTCACCCTCCCGGAGATGCATCTTGCCTCCACACTCTGAAATCGCAACTAAATGTAGTTTGGCAGCAACAATAGTGATAAAAAAGATGCATTTTTCTTTGTAAATTGCTGCCTAAAATATCAACTTCTATAAATATTGTTTTTGTAGCATCGTGCTACAAATAGAGTCAAGAGCTCAAAATACAAACAAGTCCATATTCTGTGACTAAACTGGTCATCATCAAACTATTTGATCATAAAAAAATGAACAGATCATGAACCAATCAGGAACATAATAACAGATGAGTTGCTTATTTCTTATCAATATTAATGAACCCAGAGCCCTTGTATAATGAAAGAAATAAATTTTTCTGTAGCTTTTTCAGGGAAGTGAATTACAACAAGTACCTAAAAATATTTGGAATTATAAGTTCTCAATTTAGAACCAGTATTCTTTCATATTTAAGACAATTAATTTATTGGAGCCATTGATATATAATAGTGTATATAATTCTAGTTACCAGGACTTGAGATACTAATAGAATTGGGAATATAAAATGTAGGTATGTGCAGGCATAGGGTTGCACGAGATAAGCACAGCACCTCTTTGGGGATATTTAATGTATGTACAGACATAGGGTTGCACTAGAGATAAGCACAGCACCTCCTTGGGGATATTTAATGTATGTACGACATAGGGTTGCACTACAGATAAGCACAGCACCTCCTTGTGGATATTTAATGTATGTACAGACATGGGGTTGCACTACAGATAAGCACAGCACCTCTGATGACGCCCATGATGAGAGGGTGAGGGATGGCAGACTTGATGTGCAGGGACTGCTCGTACAGCGCCTGGCGGACCAATGTCAGCTCAACAAAATGCACTTGAAATCACAATATTCAGAGAAGCAAGAGTAATGGAACATAAATTAGTGAATGTAAACGAATAGCATAGAATAAGAGTATCAGGATGGAATTAATAGAATTCTTCCTCTAAAAGGCAGGAATAGAAGACTTCCTCTTTGAATACAGGTTGCATCTTTTCTCATCAAAATTGACAAAATTTTAAGGTCTGATAAAAATCAATCTCTATGAAAAATACACCCTGTCATATTTTGTACCTACCAAAAGCTTTTGCTACATCAATAGTCATCTTACAATTAACAAGTCATGAATAGACAATTCTGCTGAAAACTTCATTAATCAAAGAGCAAGGCAAATCTTACCTTTAGTTTCTTATTATTTTTCTGGGCAGTATACATCTGAATTTCCAGAGCATAAATCTCGAGAAGTTGGGTGCCCTTTTTGAGGTCATCTTCACCCTCATCAGTCTGTGCAATGAATATTAAAGCTCAGGCTCAACACAGAATATAAACGAGTTAATAATATCATGCAGTTCTTTCTATCCAAACATGTAACGAGTTTACCAGCAACATATCTCTTCCTGAAATTTTTTTAATGATTCTTTAGGATCATTTTCTTATATCATTTACTTGAAAGAATGTTATCAAAATTATAACAGTTGTATTTCAATCAATAGTATAGGCTTGGTGTAAAACTTGATGCACTAGAGAACAGAATATTACAAAGGATTTTCCAACAAGCAAGACAAACAAAACACTTAAAACAACAAACATAAAACAACAAAAAGTTGTCTCACCTGACATGATGTATGTAGCTGCTTTAATATTTTAGAAAGCTTGGTAAAGTCCTCACGGTCATAGTAAAGTTTTCCTAACTTTGTGTTAGTCTTGAACCACAGTCGGTCATTCTTGGCGTCTCTTAATGCTTCAAGGGTTGTTTCATAAAATTCTTGTAACAGTTCCATCTGCAGAGCATTAATTTACATAGTATTAAAAAATATAATGTATGTTCAAGTAAAAATATTTGTTTAAGGAAAACTAGTGTTAAATTGAAAAAATATTTAAATTCAACTTGAAAATAAAAAATTCCAGAAAGGAAAGATCGGTAATATACCTACCATCACTGAATAAACTTCAATAGATAACTATGAGAATTTTCATCCTTTTTGACCCATTCAACATGGATATGACACAAATTGTACAGATTTAACTTACGTTTTTTGAAGTAGAAATGTAATCTAAAATAGAATTTATTGATTTTTCACTGTAATTTCTTGTGACAGCTGACTTTATGTATGTGAGAAGCTGTTTGTAGCGCTGCATCATCTCTTCCTTGTTACCCTGAATAAAAAATTTATACAATAAATGAATAATAATTGATATTTCAATTGCAGTACCTATAGATCTTTATTTGTGAACTTCAAAAAAATTGCAATTTTTTAAAGAATATTGGTCAGGAATCTTAACTATTAGCTAAATATACTTACCAACTTAAAATTAATCTTTATCATTTGTTTGAGAGCTTTGAAGCCCCATTCTCCTTTATCTCCAGCTTCCAGTTCAAGAACTCGTGTAAATGATGCCAATGCTGCCAGTGGATCATCATCTTTCAGAGCTTTGCTATTGTAGTACTGATTCTCTAGATCTACATCAGGTTCACTGTTGCTATCTTCTGAATACTCCAAGTCATACTCCTCTTCATCATCACACATGAAATCTTCTTCTCCATCAGACATATTTAATCAGCATGAAGGGTAATTTTTCAATTCACAGAAGAGTTCTGAAGATGAGGAAATCATTTCAGTATAAATTAATTTTGTATTAAATTTCTCAGCTTAATGGACTAGGAGTCATACTTTTACAACACATTTAAGTAGGTATACATAGAGCCTGATGATAGAGGCCTAGGTACATGTAGCATTAGCAACAAATTACATATCCATTATTGGTGATTGGTGGGTTCAACATAAAATTCCATGCCCATACAATTTTGTAGGAGAAAGGTTAAACACAGATCTTTCCAGAGGCCCCCACAGATTTTTACACTGCCCCCAGGGAGGCCATATCACCCACTTTGGGAAGCACAGGTCTAGAGCTTTCGGCTTTCCTGTCATTTTTGGAGCTGTGAGACTGATGCTAGATGAAGCATCTTATTTTCTATTTAATTTTTAATAAAACTCCAAGATCAGGCTGTGAGTTCCCAAATGTACAAAAAATGTAACTTATTACTCACTGCAGTGAGTGACAGAGAGCTAATCAGCCTTATCTTCTTGTCGACAAAAACATGAAGTCACAGACAGACATATGGACATGACTGTCATGACACGCATACTGCACAATAGGGCCTTTTTTCCCATAAATGAAAAAATGCGCTAAAAATGGATCACTTTGCTGACTTTGGAATTGTGAGACTGAGAACTCAGATGAGACTTCATTAGTTTTCTTAAGTAGGGTAAACGCGGTATATTCCGTCATCGTGGGTAATTCCGTCACCTCTTTAGTTTTTCCTTTATATTAAGCTTTGTTTTAGTTCCATGCGTTCGTTGATGGTTGAAATGGTGACGTTATACATTTGCGCGTCGAACTAATGCCAAAACACTAGGTCTTGGCCATCTAGTGGGAAAATATTGAGATCCAAAGAGAGACGATGCACGCTACCCAGTGAGATCATCAAAAAATGTGTCAAATTTGACAGTTGACCTTGCTCTACCAAATAGTGAATAACTGTTTGTATAGGAAGAATATTATGATTTGAGACTTTTAAATACGTCTGTGAATATATTAGGAATCCTTTAAGTATACTTGGATTTGCTGATTTCAAGTGGTAAATAAATTAATAGATGATTAAGTTGAGAAATGGATTTAGACACATGAAAACTAATTCCGACACGACACAACTTGAATTGGACACACACAGATCGTTCAAAGCTTTGTACAAAAATTAAAATTTGCTTAATTAAAAGCTTAATAGTTGTTAATTAAAAGCGTAATTAAGTAGTGTTCAATATTCATTAGTGTTCTAATTCAAAGCCGTGTTGTATTCCAATACAGCTCACACAGCAAATGGAATTCGAACACGTGGATGACGGCATTACGTATCAGTAGAATTTGAAGCGCAGACGTAATACGCCTCACCACGTGCTGAATATTGCCACACACAGTGACGGAATATAGGGATTTGGTAGGTTTCCATTCTAAAGGCTTTTAAATAAATATGGCAACATTTTGTGACGTTTCATTGTTGCTGACGCGTAGTGAAGTGTTTTGAGAGTCATGTGAAGGCAACAGGACTTACGTAACGCATACGTTTTTTTATATTTTTTCATTTCTCGATGCGTCCTTAATGTGTCAGAATATACCGCCTTTACCCTAATTGGAATATTGCAAAACTGAATATAGGGTTACACATAGTGGCAAACCAGTGGTTTTTTAGAATCAGTCAATCAGCTCATTTTAAATTTCCTCATATATTCAAGATTTTAACAGATTTCTTATGTAAGATAATTCTGGTACAGTATCCAAGATACTTTACTGGTCTACTTATAGGACTCAAAAATGAACTTTAGGAAGAGTCTAAAAACTCTCTTCTTTGCCACTATGGTGGTAACATAGTGGCAAACCAGAGCTTTTAAGAATCAGTTCATTTTTAATTTCCTCATTTACTCAAGATTTAAACCAATTTCTTATTTATGATAATGCTGGTATCCAGTATACTTTATTGGTCTACATATAGGACTCAAAAATGAACTTGAGGGAGAGTCTAAAAAACTCTCTGCTCTGCC